GATTTCCAGAATTTAAAAATGCTGTTACTATCACTAACGTAATTTTTTGATTGTCACTAAAATTTTCAAGTATAATAAAATAGACAATTGTTTTACTAGGTTGTAAAAGAGAGAAGTTGGAAGAAGGTAAGGATGGAAAATAATTTCACTAAACTCTTATTGTTAAAAAAAAGTTTTGCAGCGGAAGGTAAGAATTATGTGATGTTAGAATATTATCTGGTTGTAAAAAATGTGAGAACTAAAGTTTGTTTTATAGATAGTTTGTTTAGGCATTACATGTAAGAATTTTTTATATACAAAAAATTTTGAATTTAATTTAATTTATTTTGATTTTATTTATATATTTATAGAAATAATTTAAAACTTATACAAAATTAAAGATAGAAAAAAGGTATATTATCATTCACATTACCTAATTATATTTAATTATTAATCTTAATTTATATATTATTTTTTATAAACATTTGTTTTTATTATAATTATAATATTTATATATTAATTAATAGCCTTGTAATTAGTGCTTTATATCTAATGGATCTAAAAGTAATTTGACTTTATGGGAAAAGCCTTGTAATTAGTGCTTTAAGTATGGGAAGTTAAGGTTGATAGAGATCCAGACTTAAAAAGTTTATATTAGAATATGAAAAATCAATCGGTTCAATTTCAGTGACGGGTTTCACTAAAACTTTTAAAGACATGTTTCTTTTATAAGACGTTTCATCGAATAAATCGATCCACTTCAGTTATAGGTTTCACCAAAGCCTTAAAAGAGGTGTTTCTTTTATGAAAGGCTTCACCAAACCCTCCAAAGGCATGTGTTTCTTTTATGAGAGTATCGTTGAATTACTTTTTTTTAACCAAGCAAAAGATCATGAGAAATCAGGTAATTATTATTTTTTATATTTATTGCTATTTAAATATTTTATATTTGTAATAACTAAAAATTTTATTTAATTTATAGGTTTTTAATATTCTAGATGTGAAAGAGTTGCAGAGAAGATACAATTTCGCATTTGGAGATTATTGTGGACCACTAATGAAGCCACTAAAATTTTGAACGAGTTTTACTTCGAGTTCGAGTCATGGTTAAGAGCTTTTTTGTAGATATGACTAATTTTAGGGTTTTTGTATATAAAGATTTTGTGATTTTTAGAATTTAAAAATGTTGTCACCATCACTAACATAATTTTTTTATTGTCACTAAAATTTTCAAGTATAATAAAATGGACTACTACTTTACTAGGTTGTAAAAGAGAGAAGTTGGAAGAAGGTAAAGATGGAGAATAATTTCATTGAGCTTTTGTTGTTAAAAAAAAGTTTCGCAGCATTATCTGGTTGCAAAAACTGCGAGAACTAAAGTTTGAGAGTTTGTTTTGGCATTACATGTAAGAATTTTTAATATACAAAAAAAATTTTAATTTAATTTAATTTATATATTTATAGAAATAATTTAAAACTTATACAAAATTAAAGATAGAAAAAATGTATGTTATCATTCACATTACCTAATTATATTTAATTATTAATCTTAATTTATATATTATTTTTTATAAACAGTTATTTTTATTATAATTATAATATTTATATATTAATTAACAGCGTACAACACACATGTATAAAAATTTGATTCTTTATTATATATGTTATAATGTAATATTATATATGATTCATTTCTTTTGATTTTTTTTTATTAAGTTTATGGATAGAATGTTGATCAATTTTTTTTTTTAAGTTGATTTATAAAAGTGAAGTAGTCAATTCATTAGGGAGGTAATTTGATTTTAAGGGAGAAGATTTGTGATAAGTACTTTCAAGGATTGAAAAATAAAATTGATAAAGATCACCACTTAAGAAAGCTTAGATTGGAATATAAAATTTTAATTATAAAATTATGTTACACTTGAGTCACATGTTTCACAAAAACCTTTAAAGACATGTGTTTTTAATAATAGGATTGCTTGATCACTTTTTTATAAATAAGCAAAAATTTATGGAAAATTAAGTAATTGTTATTTTTTATATTTATTATTATTTAAATATTTTATATATTTTATATTTGTAATAATTAAAATTTTATTTTATTTATAGGTTTTGAATGTCATAGATATTAAAAGTTATAGAGATGATCTGATTTTATATTTGAAGAATATTGTAACTGCCGATGAAACTACTAAAATTTTGAACAGGTTCAAGTTTGAGTTTTAGTTATAATTTTAATTTTTTTTTTTTGCAGATAAGACTACTTTTAATAGTTATATTTTAAAAGTAATTCTTTTAAAAGAATTTACATTTGGAGATTATTGTATACTGTTGATGGAGCTAGTAAAATTTTGGACGAGTTTTAATTTGAATTTTAGTTATAGTTTCGAGTTTTTTATAAATAAGAATATTTTATAATAGTTATATTTTAAAAGCAATTTTTTTTACTTTAAAAAAAAATTACAATTGCAACGTGATTTTTTAATTGTAACAAAAATTTTCGAGTATAATACAATGAACAAATGCTTTTATTTAAATCAAGATTATAATTTGCACTTATTATTGTTCAGTCTTGACGTCATTATGCCACTCACATGGACGGGGTGCAATCCATTAAAAAATAAATGAAAATTAATTAATTAATTAAGGTGCTAACATAATGATGGTAACGGGTCATTATTGGGATGGATATTATACTTTGGTTTATGATCGATTATGATATTCATCCGCTCATTTATTTATACTTATTGGGTAATATTTTGATATATTAATTTTGATATCCAACGAGTAACTTGAATAATTGATTATAGTTTTAAAAAATATATATAATAATTAAATAAAAAGCATAAACACAAAATCCAACAAAACTAATTAAAAATTAATATCATATTTTCAAGTAATAAAATCAAAAAAATTAAAAATTAAAAAATGTCCTTAAATGCATAAAAGTGATCTTTAATAATAATGGGAATAGTAAATTAGAAGAGAAATAAAAAAAAAAAAAAAACAAAAATGGAATAACAAAATAATTCAATAAAAATCATAAATGCATAATATCCAACAAAACTAATTAAAAATTAATTTCATTGTTTTCAAGTAACAATACCAACAAAAATAAAAATTAAAAAACGTCCTTAAAAGCATAAAAATGATCTTTAAATAATAATGAGAATAGTAAATTAAAAGAGAAATAAAAAATAATGAAATTGGTCTTTATACATTTTTGTAACCTAAGTAGTAAGTTAAATTTTTTTGTAATTTATATATTTTTATAATAGGTTTATTTTAATTGTCAAAATAAAGAACTTATGAAAAAATATATAAAAATATATTATATAAGTTAGGTAATAGTAGAGGTAGCTAAATAACTCATGCCTTGAGAATTTCGATTAGTTCCAATATAATAGTATTGATTCTTTTTTTAAATTGAAAATTGGCTCGGAATTGGATTTTAAGTGATACAAATTCGACTTGATCTGAGAATATATAAAAATATTTTTTTATTATTTATTTAATTTTATATTATTATTTAATATTTTAATTTAAGATTTTAACTCAATAAAAATATTTTATTTATGTATAATTAAGCTATAATTTATATTAAAAAATATTTTATAAAAATTATACTAAATTAAAATTATTAAATTAATTTTGGACCAAGATGGGTTAATTACGATTTATGAATATACAAATTAGGTATGAAAAAAACAATTTTTTAACATTAAATCAAGGAGAATATAAATATTAAAAGATTTGATCGAGTGAAAACCCGTCTTGATACGTTACTATTCTTAAGCATTTGGTGACTAGCACGGCGAGTATTATTTTATCACCCCTACTTTAACCTGACCATGTCCAAATCCAATTACCCGATTAATGTAATGGAATACAAAATTCTCCCCGTACTTGTATTCTTTGGGGTCGAAAAATGAGTAACTCGTTGCTATTCCTGTTACTTCAACATTCATCTTCTTTAGCTTAATCATAGTAACCCGTTGTATATGTATAGAACTGGATGTTTGTCTTTTAACAATGACCTTGAAGCCATGATTGTTCTCTCTACCTCACAATTTTCTATAATAGCCATCATTCCCCACAGTTCTCTCTGGTGACTCCTTGGTTTTCGCCTGTGGCTGCTCCCTCCCATACAAGCCACAATTCTTACCGCTATTTTCTCCCAAGGCAATGATTTCTTTTTATCATTATCACCCCAAAACCGTCAATGCCACAACAAATTGAATAACAAGATATAAAGTTCAACTAGAAAATTCCATAGCACATATGAAGCCTCTATATCTAGCTGTTGGAGCAACCTGATGTCATTACAAATCTTTCACTCCTTATATTCTGTCAGTTAAATTTATGAAAGAGAGTGAAATATAATCCTACATTATAAGTATTTTAAAGAGGGTTTAATTCTGTACCTGCTGTTTGCATTTCACATAACATATTTAATTATGATCATTTTCACTACGAGATGCTTTAGTTCAAAAGCTTATATCCTTATTAAATACTCGAATAACACATATAAAATGTATAAATTTAAAATGGTTTATGATCCTAACATAATTAAATTATGAAAAAAAAAAATTATTATCACTTTTTAAAATAAACATAACTTATTTGAAAATGCATATCTATAAATATACAAATTAATTCATGCAAGCTGAAAAGAAAAGAAGAATAAGGGAAATCTCCCAAAGTGATATAGAAATTTTGATCATGCAAAAAAAAAAAAATTTAAGATTCAAATTTTTACTTGTTTATGCAAAAAAAAAAAAAAAATCAATATGACAAGAAAAAAAATGATTAAATTATATACGTTACTTTTATATGTAGCCGGTAATCCCACGCCAATAATTGTTGGGTAAAATAAATAAATAAATAAATTTGCAAGATTTACCTTATGACAAGTTCCTAATTTATGTTTTGGGGATATTGCTTTTATGTCTTTGGGTTATGATTGCATTTCATTTAAGTCCTCAGTGATGGGAAAGAGATGAATATCTGCAATTCTAAAATGATTACAAAATATGAAGGGAAAGAGTTACCAGTCCAATTTTATATATATCCAATTGTATGTGATTGGAAAGACACAATAGTTCAAATGAAAATTATGAATATATCCAAAATTGGGGTTTGGAAATGAAGATTTATTTCTGAATATGAAACAAATTTAAGAGAAGTTCCACCATCCTTGCATGTCAGTTTGATTCTTCCTGTTTCCAGTGAATCTGTTCAACAGGCTGCTTCCAATAAGCTTTCATATGACTGATACCATTGCCAGCTATTTAATTAAAAACAAAAAAACAAAAAAAACAGAACAGAGAAAAGGAAAGGCTGGAGATAACTATTTTATTGATTCCAAAAGAGTAGATCAAACACCAAGTTCTTATGGTCTCCACATTTTCTAAAATGATGCTTAAAGCCTGTAACATATTACTACCAAGTTGGATGCAAGGATGAAGAAGTCATTGCAGGCAGCCACTGCTTTCTGACACTTCTCAATTACATCTTCTTCACAATGGCTTCAAAAATTCCATCAGCCAAAAGACTAGTAACTTCGTAGTTATTGACAGGACCAGGTAGCTGGAATGAGACAGTGAAGTGTCCCGGCGGGCATAGATTTTGTGTCAGCATATGAAAGATTTGAAAGTTCTTGCATACTATTTTCTCACCAGTTGTTGATATCCCCTTTATTAGTACTTTTCCATCAGGTTCAATGTCACAATTGAAGTCTCCTGCACTCATAAAGTCAGATATCTCAATTATCATTCCCAGTAAAATCAATAATAAATCAGACAGATGAATACAATGATAAAACAGACAGATTAATACAATGATTCAAGCTTTTCTGACAGAATTTGATATTCACAAATCACGATAAATATATTAGCTTCAATCATAAATCCTGGAGTAGAGGTTTAATGGCACTCGTATAGAAAATGCTGTGGAAGACAATTATTGAAAGACCATTTTATTTCTAGGAATTTCCAACAACGCTGATGTCAGAAAATATGCACCTGCTCCAGTGAGTTTATATCACATGAACCACTTGCCACTGGCCTTCCCAATCTTAACCAAAGAGGTTAAGCTTCCCACTCTTAACCAAAGAGGTAAGACTTTTCAGATCAAATGAAGAAAACTAACATTCCCGATCCTATTTCAAGCAAGTTATGTAATCATGAGCAGAGTGATTGATCTTAAACGTTAAAGAAACTTACTTTTATCCATTGATACCCCAGGAAGAGCAACACGAAAATAGTATGAATCCTCCAATTCACCGATATCCACTTTCCCTAAAATTGGTCCTACTGTTCCTGTTGCAGCAGCCCCAGTCAACACAACTCCATTTTTAATAGTAGCCATGATACTGTCCAACTCCTCCCTGGTTGATTGTGAAGGCAGCAATATCATAGCTGGACCAATGGTTTCTGCAGCCTCAATCTTCTCGTTGGTTGGTGAAGAAACTGTATCATCCGGATTTGTTGGACCAACATATGGCACACAATTGAGAGGAGCCACATCAAGAACTGGTTGCTGCGGATTCATGTGATTATGCTCGTAATTTTCACCTTTTGTTCTTTCAGACCTGCCAGAAGACATGTAGGCTGTCATGTTAGCACATGAACACCAGAGCTGAAGCCCTAGGATACAAAAGCTATCTCTCACAAGCAATGCTACTATATACATTGTCTCCCTCCAGCCCAACAATTTCTATCATATGTTATTGAGGTTTTTCAAGACATAAGCAATAAAACTTGGCTTGTTTAATAATCCATTGAAAGAACAGGTAGGAAATCTTATGGAAACAGAACAAGGAGAAACATGTACCATAGATATCAGTTATTTAAGTCAGGTTTTCTCCTAAGTCACAAAAATCAAATCAGTAAGCACCGCAAGAGCAATGAAGCTTTTCTAACTATGATATAAAAATCCAAAACTAAACACATAAGCAAATGGAGAACTAATTCAATTTAACATTGACATGCATCAAATCACCAAGAACATATTGAAACCAAAAACCATGATATTTGAAGTAGTTTTGCTCAAACCTTAGAACCCCAACATTGAGATCAAGGGTTGTCAATTTTTCTGATAAATCATGCCCATCTTCGCTACTCAGTCTGAGAACTCATCGCTAGGAAAGTATTCTTTGCCTAAAGATGCTGCTTAAACTTCATGTATATTTAATAATGGTAAAAGATGTAGGTAATGGCTGAAATTTACAACCTTGGCTTATATAATGTTCATCATATTAATGCAAGACCACTTTCCGAGTGCCCTCATTTATTATTCCCCTTTAAAATTATTAATATATCCTTTGCTGCCTTTTATATTTTTTCCTTTTACTGCAAATTTTTATGTTTCGAACAGATTCCCTATTTAATAGCATACATAAACTTCCAAGTGCACAAAACAAGACAGATGCAGCCATTTTAGCTTTCGCAAATGAATAAAACACACATAGCAAGTGCGTAGTTATAATTTGTAAGAAATCAAATTGTCAGCTTTTGTAATGTAATCTTACTTGTGCTACCATTAAATAAGTAAATCTTCAAACCACACAATCAATGCTACACACTAATCATTCTAAGAAACTCTAACTATTATGCATTTGAAGTTTAATCGGGAAAATGATAAAGGACAGATAAGTAATACAGGAAGATCATAGTAAATCAGAAATATATGAAGTTTCCTTTAGACAGCATGGTGAAGAGTGAAGAGTGAAGAGGATTAGGTTGTATTGGACCAGACATATCAATTTATTAATGTTAATTCAAAGATTATTGAACTGAATTAGATGCACTTATGCATTGTAATCTATGTCTATGAAATCTTTCTTCACATGCGTGTCTATGTATTCTAAAAAGAGAGAGACAAGCTCCAGATACAAAGAAAATGAACCTTGAATAAATTTAAGAGCAATAACACTTTGTGGGAATCCTTCTGATTCAGTAGCGATTTGCAATAACAAATCAAATCTCTAACAGATATAAATGCTCATAGAGTTAATGTCAAGCAGCACATTAATATCATGATTTATAATATTAGTTCTTTTACCTCAGATATCCTGTTTTGGATATGTTTTTATGACTGTATGTCCTTTTGATTTGCCAGACAAATATATTTCTAGGCAAATCCTTTTATGTAATCTTTTTCATTATTGATTTATTTCGAGATTTTATTCAATAAATCAAATTTACCACATAATTATTCACAGTTGGATTGATAATAGCTGTGATTCCAAAGTGTATTACTGCCTAATTTATTAATTATAGATGTTTAATCAACTCTTTAATGAATCCAAAGCTTTATCATATACCTACAGAAGCACTTGCATAGCCTGCATTTCACCCAACTTTATCATATGCCTACATAACCAATCCAAATGCATAGCATCCAGCTTAGATCTCGTGAATAAAAAGTTGGCTTGTTACATAGGTGCAAACATACAAGTTATTTTAGTTGTTGGGGAATTTTCAGTTATTTTAGTTGTTGGGAGTAATGCAGATACAGGCTAATGCAGTTATCAAAATTCCAAAATTAAAAAAAAAAAAAAAAAGTTAACCTAAAAACCCTAGGAAAACCCTAAAATTGAGGGTTTGTAGACAATGAAATCCAAACTCAAAAAAGCAACCAAAGATGAAATAGCAACATACCTGATTCAACTTCCAAGCACTTTCTTTTACATCTGTTTTTCTTATCATTAGAAAATATCGTATGTATAAAAATCCTAAAGTAAAAATCCTTCTTTTCTTTACCTATATAATATAATCAAAACATATAAAAAAAATACAACCATGAAAGTTTAAATCTTTGACAGAAAGATTAAAAACCAAAACAGAATCGATCATAACACGAACCATAAAAATTCAATCAATCCATCATCCAAAATCAATACTCAATATACATCCAAAACCCACAAAGAATATGGCATAAACTATATAATACAATTAGAAAAAATGGGAATTCAAAGCTGTAACTTTTCAGCTTAGTCCAATGCATATTAAGAACAGACATCATCAGATACATACAAAACATGCATTATAATATGTAAAAGAGCTATATAGTCATCGTGTATCTTTACCTCATTGGAGAAGCCATTGATGAGTCACAAGCAATATTGAGAGAGTTCTGTGAGTTTTTAACATGTTTTTCTGGTTTGAGAGAATCTATGTTCTATACTTGGGCCAATAGGTTTTGCCAAAATGGAGAGGGACAAGGAGACTATGTTGGCAATGATTGGGTGCAGTAGACGCACCGTGCACTTGCCTTAGTTTGTGATTTTTGTCTTATTTTTATTTTCATTTTTTATTTTTTATATTTTTCCTTTTTATAAAAATTTTAATATTTTCAATTTTCATAAATAAGATTAGGATAATTTTTTGATTTCATTAGTATATTAAATGTAAATATTCTAATATTTAACCTCTACCAATATTACTATTTGTAATTCATTGTGACAAGTTGTTGCACAAATTCATTAAGATTTTTTTGGCCCAATGGCTTAACTGATTAATGGTTGTCTATTACTTTCTGATAAACTCAACAATTGCTAGATCATTGATATAGGAAAATCATGGCGTAGGTGTTAAGTATTGCAACTCCCAGAGAATGCTTCTGAAGATATATATGCTTCAAATTCCCAAAGAGCCCCTACGGTAAAAACTGGTTTGACTGATATCACTACGCATTGGCTAAACGTACAGCTGTTTTGTCCTTCTTACGTTTGCCTGTCCACAGCTTTAGACATTATTTATCAGCATTTTCACTCCTTAATTCACTTTAAAAAGCAAAAATAATTAACCTCATTTTCAATTTTAGAGGCTCCAGTCTCACTGTAACCCTTTACTGGTTAGACTCTCATCTTCTATCTCAACTCAAATGCCACATCGCAGAATGAGTTAATGAATATGCTTGCATGTCTATAAATATATCTTTGATTAGTCAATGGAAACTGTGATTCTTTCTTTCTTTTTCTGAAACTTTTTTGTGGGGTTGCACCCAAAATATGGATATTTGTAAAGGTAGCTTGTTTCACAATATGAAGTAACTGCATTGTGTTTCTGTTTCTTAAATATTATATGCATGAAATCTTTTCAGTGAAAAAGAAATTTAGGATTTTGATCAAGAAGCCCAAATCTGTCACATTTTGGTAGTTAAATTGAAGTATAGTAAATTGCATGTATGACATGAAACCAGTCCTCTATGTTTCAGCCTGGAATTTAAGATTAAACCCTTGTTCTGTTTTCCCTCTTTGGCTCATCTCTTAACTGTTTTGATCACTGCATTCTGAAATTGATATTTGCTCTAAATTGTTTGATTTCATTCATCTTCACTCTGGTGGTATCTAAAATAGATTTGATAATTTTTGTTGTTATTTTTGAAGCAAAGAAAACTTTACTCACTGTTATATTTCTTAATATCATAAACATTACAATTTAAAGCCTAATTAATAACTACCCATTAAAATCATAATCCTAAGATTAAGCCATGACCACCAGCATGAATAACAAAAAAATAACCAACACCAGAAAAACAGAAACAACATGAAACATTCAACTAAGCAACATTCATGAATCCACATTAGCAGTCCTAAACACATCTTTTAACACTCCTTGCTTTAGGAGCTGCAAACATCAAGTTTTATCCTCAGAAATTCAAACTTGCTAACTGACAGTGGCTTGGTGAAAACATCTGTAACCTGATCTTCTGTTTTGCAGTAGACAAGAACAACAGCTCCATCTTTCTGTACTTCCCTTAAGAAGAATAATTTAATATTAAAATATTTAGTTTTCTCGTGAAACACAGGATTTTGAGAGATAGCAATGGCAGCTTGGTTGTCAACAAGAATCTTCGTGCTTTCCTCCTACTCTAAGTTAAGATCGATTAAAATCTTCCTTAGCCACAAAGCTTGATTAACAGCAGCTGTTGCAGCAATAAACTCTGCTTCAGCTGTGGATTGAGCTACAATTTCTTATTTTTTCGAGCTCCATGAGAAAACACCAGAACCAAGTGTGAAATAATAGCCTGAAATGCTCTTCATATCATCAATGGAACCTCCTCAATCATTGTCTGAGAAACCAACCAGCTTGAACTCTTTGCTCTTTGTGTATTTAATGCCAAAATCACTTGTGCCTTTCAATATCTAAGCACCCTCTTTGCAGTTTTGAGATGCCATTCACTTGCACAATGCATAAATTGAGACAAAATGCTTACAGCATTCAAAATGTCAGGCCGAGTTGCTATGAGAAACATTAAGCAACCAATCAGGCTTCTGAAATATGCCTGATCAATCTTCTCTGTTTCATCTTTTTTACAGAGCTTTTCCTTTGAGTTCATTGGTGTCCTTATTTCTTTACATTCTTTAAGTTTAAACTTCTTCAGAATCTCTTTGGCATATTTCTTCTGACAGATGAAAACTTCATGTTCATTCTGTTTGATTTCCATTCCAAGAAAAAAAGTCATCAATCCAAGATTTGTCATTTCAAAAAACTCCATCATCTCTTGCTTAAACTTCTCCACAATACTTGTGTTGTTTCCTGTCACAAGTAAGTCATCTACATATAGTGAGATAATAAGAATGTTAGCTCCAATGTGCTTGACATATAAAGTTGATTCAGATAAGCTTTTGACAAATCTCAAGTTCTGCAAATGTTCATCAATCCTGCTGTACCAAGCTTTGGAGCTTGCTTCAATCCGTAAAGTGCCTTTTTAAGAAGATAAATCTTGTCTTCTTCTCCTTCATTGACATAGCCTTCTGGTTGTTCTACATAAATCTCTTCCTGCAGAAAACTATTCAAGAATGCTGACTTGACATCTAATTGGTGCACTTTCCAATTCTTTTGTGCTGCAACGACGAGTAAGAGCCTGATGGTGTTGAGTCTAGCAACTGGTGCGAAGGTATCTGAGTAGTCCACAACAAGTATTTGAGCATATCTTTTGACCACGAGTCTAGCTTTATACTTGTTGATTGAGCCATCAGCATTAAGCTTGGTTCTGTACACTCATTTGACTCCAATTACTTTTATGTTTTGAGGTCAATCAACCAACTTTCATGTTTCATTCCTTTCAATCATGAATAGCTCCTCCTTCATTCCAGCAATCCAATTTTGATCCGTCTTAGCCTCTTCATAATTTGTAGGTTCACACACAGTAATATTGCATCTTTGATAAACATCAGAAAGTAGTCTTGTACCTTTGATAGGACTATCATCCACCATTTCATTCTCCCAGTCTCCAATGCTAAGAAACTTGGGCTTGTGCTCTTTTAAGGTTGGATCCATCTTTTTTGCATCATCCCAGTTCCACTTTTCATCTTTCATAAAGTGCACATCCTTGCTTATAATAATTTTTTCAGTTTGTGGCTGAAAAACTTTATAAGCTTTTGCAACTGAGCTGTAGCCAATGAAGATGCCTGGAAGTGCTCTTTTATCTAATTTATCTTTCTTAGTCTGTGGAACATAAGTGAAGCACAAACATCCAAATATTTTAAGGAAATTCAGAGATGGTTTATAACCATACCATGCCTCAAAGGGTGTTTTATCCTTCACTGCTCTTGTGGGAAGCCTGTTTTGCAAAAAAATAGCAGTATTTACTACTTCGACCCAAAATTGCTTTAGCAAGTTCTTCTCATGTAGCATACATCGTGTCATCTCCAATATGAATCTATTCCGTCTCTCACTTACTCCATTTTGTTATGGAGTGTATGGAGCGATTAATTGATGTTGGATGCCTGACTCTTCACAAAAACGAGTGAATGCTTCAGAAGTGTACTCTTTGTCATTGTCTAATCTGAGAGTTTGAATTCTACAGCCACTCTCGTTCTCAACTCTGGCTTTAAAGTTCCAGAAGACTTGAGCCACCTCTGACTTGTACTTTAAAAAGAAGATCCAACACATACGGGTGAAATCATCAATGAATGTAACATAATAAAGACTACCTTTCAGAGAGGCGTTCTTGTGGGCCTGCAATGTCAGTATGAATTAATTGTAACTTCTTTGATGCTCTCCATGTTGCCTTGGGAAATGGTTTTCTACTTTGCTTTCCAAACTGACATGCTTTATAGTTTGGAACATGATCATCAAGTTTTGAAAAATCATTTACCATCTTCTTGGATTTCATCTGCAGTAGCCCCTGATGATGATAGTGCCCGAGCCTCTTGTGCCATACTTCAGTGATATTTTTTTTGATTGGGAAAGCAGTTTGCTCCTCCTCCAATAGATTTAGAGCAAAGCTTTTCCCTTTCATTTTTACTTTGAAAATATCTTGGCCAACTGCATCTTTAATCAAGCAATTTTTATCTTCGAACACAACTTTATAACCCTTTTCAATTAGTTGTCCAACACTTAACAAGTTTTGATCAATTTCAGGGACATATAATACATCAGAAATGAACTTTGTACCTGAACAAGTTGAAATTGCAACTGTTCATTTTCCCTTCACAGTCATGTACTTGCCATTACCAACTCGAACTTTCGATGAGTTTACGTTGCTTAGTTCCCTGAATAGATCCTTGTCATATGTCATGTGGTTAGTACAACCATTATCTATAAGCCAACTCTCACTTGATTCGATGCTGGAGAAACATGTAGCTACGAACAGGTGATCCTCTTCCTTTTGATCAGCAACCTTTGCATCTTCACCATGTTGCAGATTTTTGTTTTTACAGATAACAGCTTCATGCCCCATCTGATTACATTTAGTACATTTAGCATCAGGTCTTCTCCAGCATCTAAATGGAGGATGACCCTTCTTTCCACAATGTTGGCAAGGTGAATAGGATTTCTTTTGATTTTCATTCTTTCCTTTTGCATTGGCTAATGCAGTACTTACCCCATTTCCTTCAAAATCATTTTTCTTCTTTCTTTTGCTTTTGGCCACATTTTGATGCTTGACTGCCAAAGCTCCTTCAATTGTTGTATTTTCTCTCATCAGTCTTCTTTGTTCTTGTGCTTGCAAAACGTTAAGCAATTCTGTTAAGAAAATTTTTGACAGATCCTTCGTATTCTCCAAGACAGTGATGGTTGCTTCATATCTTTCAGGTACTATAACAAGAATTTTTTTTACAATTCTTGAGTCAGTAAATTCAGATCCAAGAAGCCTTACTTTGTTTGCGATACTCAGAAGCTTTTTGAAGTAATCTTTAATCGTCTCGGAGTCTTTCATTCTTTGAAGTTCAAATTCCCTAATCAAGTTAAAGACTTGCATCCCTTTAATTCTTTCATCTCCTTCATATTCATTATTGAGATAATCCCATATCTCTTTTGCTGACTTCAGAGACATGATACGAGTAAAGATGATGGATGAGACTACAGCAAACAAGTAGGCTTTTGCCTTTGATTTCTTTGTCTTCTTTTCTTTCTGTGCTTTAATCTGTTCCATGGTGGGATTGTTTGGAAGTGCAGGAATTTCATAGTCTTCTTCCACTGCTTCCCAAAGATCTAAAGCTTCCAAGTATGTCTCCATACGTACTACCCAAATCTGGTAGTTGTCTCCGTCGAACACCGCCGGAGCAATTGCGGAGAAACTGGCTTCAGCTTCCATGACGCGTCAATTTCACACACAGATCCCTTAAGAAAATAGCTATGATACCAAATGTTGTTATTTTTAAAGCAAAGAAAACTTTACTCAGTGTTATATTTCTTAACATTAGAAACATTACAATTTAAAGCCTAATTAATAACTACCCACTAAAATCATAATCCTAAGATTAAGCCATGACCACCAGCATGAATAACAAAAAAATAACTAACACCAGAAAAACAGAAACAACATGAAACATTCAACTAAGCAACATTCATGAATCCACATTAGCAGTCCTAAACACATCTTCTAACAATTTTAATGCACATACTAATTACTAATTGATAGGTATAAATGCTTTAGGAAACTTAAGTAAACCAAAAACTTTTTGTAAAACCTTTTCTATTTTCTGTTGTGGTTATCCATAATTGTTTGTTATGTAATTGCAATATTTTATGCATTTCTTTCTGCAAATAAATAACTGCTAGTATTTCAAAAAAACCTTGTCTTGTTTAACTGTATCCATATCACCAGAACCATGTCAAAGAGGATCACAAACAGATGAATACCGTTCTGTCTCTGGTTTGTTTAATCATTTGCCTTAATCATTGAAAACTATGTTCAGAATTTATATAACTACAAGCATATCATCATTAAAGCGTCTATGGGTGCTTTCTACTTCATTGTCTAAAGTTGGGAGTTAGATGATCTATGAATGTTACATAATGTTCATTTTGAATGAAGTTCAGGTTTGATTTTCTAAGTGATATTTGTTCTTCTTGCAGAATTTTATTTACAGTGAGTATATCTGCTATGGCCAGCTCCTCTCAGACAAATGATTCTCTTGCTGTTATAAAGTTAAGATCAAACAAGATACCAAGTTCGCTGATGCCAAATAAGGACCAGCGCTTCCTTTTGTACTTCATCATTGGTACCTACTTTGGGCCAGATTTAAAAGGGGAAAAGTCCCATAAGTCAGTTTTGCAAAGAAAAGCCGAGGGACTTCCACCCTATACTTCTGACCAACTAGCTGGTTCGCATATAGAAACTGCACAACTAGATTGGATATACTATTATTTACTCCGCAAGGCTACTAAATCTTTAGCGGTGAAGTCACCATTGATGAACCTGCTGCTATCTATCCTCAGTTTCCTGATCTTTTTCCTCCGGATTTGCATCCTCATTCTCGGTTGAAAAATCATTATAATATCATTGAAAACATTGTATTTATTGACAACCCTGAAATTTCTTGCATTAGGATTGAGGATATTGCAAGGTTTGCAAGGCTAACTGGACTAGAAGATTTTTTCTTGGATATAGATGCTGCAAGGTTGCATGGTTCTTTTGACAGTGGCGATTTATATAATGTGACAGTGCAGGAGGCTAAATCTGCTGGAGATTTGTCTACCATTGGATATTCTTTTGGCTCCCAGAAAACAAGAGGAGTGCAAGACGTTTTAGGATGCAAGGATCAACATTTTCGTAGCCCACCACCAATCAAGAGTACATCCACCGATGCAACCTTGACATATAAGGCTCCTGTTCTAATACAAGATGAGACCTATAGTGCTAAGAAAGATGGTGCAGCAATGATATTTTTTCCATCTCCTCCGACTGAGGAAGAGTTGGCTAATATTGCTGCAGCCACTAAAAGTGGAACTGCATTGACTGGCACTGCAGCCATGGGAAAGGTTGGGCCAATTGTAGGACTCATGGGCATTGGTGAATGTGAAGACTCTTACCTGTTCCGCGTCTCTCTTCCAGGGGTGAAAAGAGATGAAAGTAAGTTCTTCATTAGCACTTAATTTCCGTAGTGCTTTAATTTCAATTATGGGTGCCTTCAGGAGTATTTTATATCATTTCAGGATCTGTTGGTTGATTTTACATTTCTGCCTACACTAAAATGTTGAAGGCAATTTATCAAGTTTGTGAATCAGAACACTCTTAACCATATGTGCTGTTGCCATAGAAAAGTTTAGAACTCGAAGTCTTATTTAATTTTTTTTACTTCCCTTCTGCTTATAGTCTTTCTATTCCTGTTTTTTGTTTTGTTTCTTTTCTGTATTTTCTTCAAGGGTTAGGGGAAGGATTGTTGGCTTAACACGCATGGATCAAGGTGATTTCAGAATGAAATGATATCATAACTTTAAACTTTCATATTAACTCGCCATTGTTGCATATCGTAGCTCTCAACAAGCATTTCCTTTTTTCAGTGCCTTCTTATATTTGTTACATAAAAGTAGCTATCTCCTTACTGCAGGTGAATTTAGCTGTGAAGTAGAAAATGATGGCAAGGTATTAATACGGGGAGTGACAACAACCGGTGAGAAAACAGTATACAGGTTCTCGCAAACGTTTGAAATGCTATCACAGAACCTTTGCCCACCAGGGCATTTCTCAATCTCGTTTCAATTGCCAGGGCCAGTCGATCCTAAACAGTTTTCGGGGTATTTTGGCACTGATGGGATTCTTGAAGGAATTGTGATGAAAAAGATACCTATCTAATTCATGCCTTGTCTGTAACCTCACATCTCAAGCATAAGAAGATTACCATGAGTTTTGTCAAAATCATGTATGACTCAGGACAAACGGATACATCAGTGGAATCACTTTGTCTCTCCCCCCCCCCCCCCCCCCCCCCAAACAACAATCCCCTGCTCATTCTAGAAACCTGGAATTTCCCAGACTACGTAAGAATCAAAATATATTTTTCATTTGCTTCCTTGCTTCCTTGGGCAAATGAATTTGATTTGGTTTTGGTTTGTTATTGATCCATCGCCCTGTTTTGGTTTTATTGCACTTGCTGATTATGGAGCCCTTCAGCAAGGTGGGTCTCTTACCACGTTTATGTAAAACTACTTCTTTGGATTATTATTTCAAACAGAAACAGCCATCCCCTCAAGCCATTCCCTCAAGCTGGCCCTACTCACACAGCATGTAAAATACCCCCATCACACCTCTACTCGGAATATATTAATCATTGGTCTGGACAGATATTCAGGCACGACCGTTTTGATTAGCCCGGATGACTGTCCTTTTAGAGTTTAAAATTAAATAGATTAGTTGCCATTGACTGTCCCCATGCACATCTGTAACTGCAATACCTCCAGTAGAAACGGGTCCAGACCTTTCAGGAATATAAATTGAGTACGAACTATAAAGATCATTTCCTACAAGCTTCTCAAGAAAAAATTAGTTAAGCTGGATCTCTCAAGCATCATGCAGATGAGCTGGAACCGTAGGATGGCACCAAGTTCCATCAAACGGCTCAACAGATGATTGCACATTGCAAAGGCCATGTGGAAGCATAAACTTTTCCTAAGGCTTTTTCAAGAAACCAGAAGAACCTACTCCATAGGTTGTAAGTTCACTCTTATGTCTATCTAATCCTTTTATCATAGCAGTCGATCATAAATAAAGCAAGCATAATGATGATAGGAATAGAAATGACTATTTGAAACTAGATATGGAAGGAAACAGTGCTTCATAATGAAATTTATACATAATTCCTTTTTTACGTCTCTAAGTAATCATTCCAACTAGAAACGAGATAAACAAGATTGAAAAAGGAAAGGGTGCATAGAAAGGAAAAGTAAATTGTTCAATCATGATCAGTCATTCTTCCAGCACAGTATTTGTAAAAAGTCTGATCTTCAGCTAGAATCTTGACCAAGGCTTTTCACCAAGAGAAGCCTCCTTATTCCGTTCCGTTGAACATTCTCAAGATGTGTCAAGGAACTAGTCTGTAACCAATTCAGAAAGCAAGCAAAGATAAGAATACAAGAAATTAAAGTTCTCAAGGAATGAAACTGCAACTGGAGCAATTATACCACTGTTATTCTCCGTCACATATCAATTTATCCTTCTACTTGCTAGGCTTCCAGTTTTTAATTCACATTAAGAGTATCAACTTGCCTTCTTGCCTTCTTACCTTCTATCATTGAGCTGCTAATGATCAGAGGATGACTGCTGTTGCTCAGGACCTGGTGGCCACATCTGCTGCGCCATGTATGGATGAGACTGCTGAGCATAGATAGCAGGGTCCACCACAGGTTTCCCCATAATCATTCCCGGAGTCCCAACCTGAGGTGCATGCTGTGCAGGCATGTAATAAGACAGCGCATCAGCAGGCCCCCCAACAGGCATTGTTCCTCTTGGAATCGATGCAAGAACTTCATCTTTCAAATCCTCCCTTGGAACTATGTCAACTAAGAAATCAAATATGTCAGTCCTGGTAATTGCTGCTGCAATATCATTTTTCTGAAGTGTCCTCCTTTTATTCTCTTCTGTGTGATTCCATGATCGCAATGTCAATTCTAAGATGAACATTTCACATGCCCGGGCAAAAATGACGGGAGCCTCAGCTGATATCATCCTCACATCTTCATCAGCTTTCATGATCTTCTTGATCCTGGCTAAGGGAAGGCTATGGTTCTTGAAATCAGTAACTTTCTCAATTTCTTGATACTGATTTGCCCAAAATGCCTGGAGTTGTTGCTGAAGTTGCTGTTGCTGCTGATGATGGATTTGCTGATAAGCAAGTTGGTGCTGTGCAAGTTGAGCTCCTGTTGGCTGACTGGTGGATTGAATACCTCCCACTGATGTTACAACTGGCCCTGGATTTGGGGCCCCAGTCACTTGGTTTTGATAGGGGTTAGTGCCGTACGGCACTTGAGCTCCGCTACCCATGATCCCCATAGCTGGGGGCTGTCCATGTCCTTGCTGATCCATTCTAATCTGCTTGAACCAAAACTTAATGATTCTGCTTCAAATAAAACAGAAAATGTAGCAAGAAACTTTAATTAGGCATTACATTTTTTATTGAATTCTAAACATCCAAATTAGAATAAGCCTTCTAACCAAGATAAACTCCTTTGAAAAGAAAGCCAAAAAATAAAAGCAAATGGGTAGAAAATCAATTCCTACTCCGATCCCTTAGATGCAAATTCTATTTGAAGCATAATATCATCCATCATCCATCATTTTTCCTTTTTTCTTTGTTATTTCCTGAAATCAATTTTACTAATATCTTGCTATTGAAGATCAAGTTCCCAACATAATATAAACACTGTAAATCAAAATCTGTTACTTCCATTTAAATAAAAGACAATTCCTGACAACTGGTGTCATTTTAGCCGCAACAACGTGAATTTGATCCTGATTTACCTAATAAAATTCTCCATCCAAAATAATAACACAAAAAAGAACCAAAAGATGGTAACTGATCAACAGCTTTTTCAATCAAAACAAAGCCACCATGTCTACAGCAGTTAAACATAAAAGAGAAAATTATTATATGAGAAGATCATTCAAATAACATCTCCTAAACCAACCCCGTACGTATATGCTCGTATATTATACTTATAAAAGAAAGTATACAAAAAGCTTATACCTTTAGGGGAAAACTCGTACCTTGATTGGAAGATTTAGATAAACAAAAAAAGCAAAAAAATTGTCAAAAGATAAAAGAAGCTTCCAAGATCAAAAGGGTTAAATTGGGTAAAAGTCTTTTAAAGAGAAAATTTCCGAACGGTGAGAAAGATACAATTTTGGAAATTTTTAGGGTTGAGAGAGAAAGAGAGAATGAACATTGAAGAAAAAAGGTTGTTTTTTTTTTCAGCAATGATTAATTTTTTAAAAATATATATATTTTCTAGTACAAACTAACCTGAGATTGGAAACAACAAAAGCTGAAGATGTTCCTGTTGTTATTGTGAGTTTTTCTGTTCGATTTTGACCTATGATGTCAGAGGGCTACTTTTTATGCGGCCTTCCCCTTCTTTTTGCGTTTTCCTTTCCATTTTTGGTTTTCTGACGAAATTACCCTTTTCAATGAAATGCAGTTATGGGTTATTTGGGTTTTGGGGTGGCTCTTTTTTATATTATTATTATTTTTGTGGTGTGTTTGCCTGCTTCAGAATGAAATGACATTGGTTTGGTTCAAGCTTGCAAGTCAGATTTTGGTTTTTTTTTTTTTTCCTGTTAGATATTCAGGTGGTGATGCTTGAGGTTAAATATGTTCATGGCATGTTACAAAGTCAGGTTTTTTAGAGTAAATTTACATGTAAATTCAAATTGGTAAACCATTTTAACATATGGAAAGATCTCTCATCAGGCTAACAGGAAGATCCAGAAGCTAAACATCCAATACCTAGTAATGTTCCAGTCTGAACCGGAATAGTTTGCACATTCCACTGTACAGGATAATCCAGTTCTAATGAACTGTTTCTCCAAGGTTTTTAAAGCTCGTTTCGGAACCCACATGCCCTCCAGTCCGGCACAGTGAGGGTCACTTTTTGACCTCAACCACACCAGGCAGCACGATGGGAGCATTCCCACCGGCCTCAGCTCCAGTTGGCCACCGGAGGAAAACCCTCCATACCGGCAGCAAAACTTTTGTATCTGCCAGTGCCTTCATAGTAGCAGTCAGTTGCTATTGATAATGCTGAAAATTTCATTGCATATGTAGTTGTCAGAACTAAGTTTAAGCATTCATCAAACCAGGAGAATCATCAAGAAAATGGTTCGTACTAGGTTGGTATTGTAGTTTTTTGGGGCTTCTTTTAACCAAATCAAGGGTTCTGCCCGTTAAAACTAAAACAAAATCCAACAATGAACATGTAAACCTTTGTGTAAGAACAAAAAGTTGTGGAATTTCATTAATGAATACCAATATACATCTATTGAATACAAATAAATCACACTATGCTCAGACTGTTGTCCTATCAGATAAATTATTCTGGTTTATATATTATTCTAATTTGCTATAAACAAAACATTCATTATAATATTGGAGAATCTAAGAAGTGCTGGATATGAAGAATACAATTCCCTCCCAAGATAAAAGTTATCTATATAGAATTTGCAGGCAAAAACCCCCCCACAATTCCTTTGTATTCATCCTCCTTTGACATAATTAATATATAATAATCTGGCACCTCGCAACGCTGAGACAAGCAACATGTAGTACCTTTTTGAAGTTCTCCAATCTCCATACATCAGCATAAATGAATTGAATTCTTCAGCTTAGTGGATCAGATCAATCACCAAGAAAACTTAGTAATGATCAAGCTAACTAGTGTGAAAACGATATAAAGGCCAACAAGGCAGAATCCCCAAAATCTAGGCACCCGGAATCTAGACCAAATTATAACCAATAGAGATCCCATCAGGCTCAAAAGCAAGAAGACAAATGCAATAATAATACCAATGTGAAAATGAAGCTGGTAGGCTTTTGGATAAACATTAGCTGTTTGCATTACTAAAGCTGTTCCAAGCCCAACAAGCATATTAAACATTGGCCCAGCGAAGCACCCAGCCATGGCCAATGCCGGATGGCCTGCTTTGGCAAGTGCAACATCAGCCACAAGATCTCCCACGGAGTTTCCCCATGCAAGTACTGTGAGTCCAAGGAGTGCCGGAGGCAATTGAAGAAGTGATCCAAGAGCTGCTAAGCAGTTCAGCAATTCGCCAGCAACAGTGGATATCCAGAACACGCTCATTACAAAAGCCACAACCACTACAAGCATTTGCTCGCTCTTTGGAGGTTCTTTTTCCAATATAAAGTGAAGGATGGCCAGAGAGAAGCTTGCAAAGAGTACTACAAACCAGAGTGGGAAACGAGTGTTTGGAAGGAGGAACACTATGGGGTGATCAAATGGCATGAATGAGTTGCAAGCATTTAATAGGGCCAGAGGGCAAAGGGCAATATTGGCAGATAGGTAGAGTCTATTCCATTCAGAAGGGGAAATTTGTGGAATTGTGAGCCTTAGAAGAAATGAGATAGGAACCTCCCATGCTTTAGAGATCTGCATAGAAGAGAAAATACAAATCATTAGGGGGAAAGCTGGTCGAAGTTTATGCATACAAGTAAAAACATAACCGAGCTGAACAAAAAACCCGGCAAATAAGATCCCAATTCCAGAAAATTCATGGAACCTATCCTTTTTCTGGCTCCTAGCATGAAGCGATAAGCAAAAATATAGCATTCCTACTTTAGACATTAAGTTGTCAGGTTAACATAAATATTGCACTTAAACCTTCCACACCTATCAATTCTGCATTGAACTCCTATGCACCCAATATTTCTAAACACTGAAGGAACCACATCAATGTATATAATTTCATATTTTGTAGTGTCTCAAGTTATTTTCATTTTCACAGGTATAAGCATGAGAACATTGACATCATTGGAAGAATGAACTTCGACAACATACAAACTGCAGTATACTTTTAGATTTCCGTTGTAATGGGTCAATGAACAAGTAAATATTCTACATATCCATCCCAGAAAGGAAGGCTCAACTAAAACTCTTTCTACACTTCCAGTTTTATGTTCATAGCATCCAACATGTACATTTTAATCAACTCCAATATTTCGATCCGGGAGAGAGAAACAATGGCAAACAGCAGAGCTTAATTAGATGTCACTGCTTCCACCCCATTTTTGGTTATGCTATCTAAAGCACTAAATAAGTTTAAAAAATATAAGCCATTAAGCATAAACATACAAACCAATAACATCAAGATTCAGATCCTAGTGACACTAAGCAGCAACATGAAAGTAGCCTCATCAAACTCTTCTATCTACCAATGCTCTTTCAGACTCCAATCAATCAAGTAATGATATTCTTATCCAACACTAAAACAAAGTTAAAAAAAAAAAAAAAAACACAAAAGACAGCACAAATTAACAATAACATACAAAGTTTCCTTCTAAGTAATTATAGAAGCTTACCATTTCATATACTCCTGCAATTCCGAAAGCCTCCTTCTCTCCTTTGAAACTCCTCTCAACCTCTCCAATCTCACAATCTTTATCCAGCAAACGGCAATCTTCTGCCACCATCTCCTTCTCCTCCTTCTCTCTCTCAGTTCCAAAATCCATCCAAAACACAAACCCAACAAAAAACATATAAAATCCAACAAAACCAACAGCTTGCCACACAAAAATTTCCCCACTCAAATAGACATAGAACAAAAACAATGCCCCAACCAAATAAAACAACACATCCCTAATAAAAGGAACAGGTTTTACCCCAAAAGGTGATGCATAGATAGCAACAAAGCCAACCACAAAGGCAGAGACAAAAGTCCCAGCCGACAATATTGCGCCAAACCCAATTCTGTAATGACCCGTACGGACAGCATGGAGGGAGGCAAAGACATCTGGGGCACCATTTCCAAGGGCTAAAAGAGTGACAGCAGCCATGGAAGGGGACAAGTTCAGGAGAGAAGAGAGCTTCGTGGTGACAATGGAGAAATGGGATTGGGCTGTTTTGATGAGAATGTAAAAGTCCAGGAGAAGGAGAAGAGAAAGGAAAGGAATTGAAAGGAAAAAATTTTCATTGAAAAGACAGTAATGGATGGAGACGTAGTTAATGAGGGCATTATCAGAAGAATGTTGGGAATAACAAGAAATTGAAAGGAGGGATCTTTGGGGGACTAATGGGGGTTTTGGTGGGGCTTGAAGGAAGAAGAAGAAGAGAGAGGAAAGGAGAGCTACGGAAAGAAGTGTGGGTTTGAGGAAGGATGGAAACGAGAAGGCCATGCCATTAAGATCGAAAAGACTGGAACTTTGGGAGTTTTTGAGACTCCCTATTTCTTGAAAGGTTCCAACTTTTCTTTTGATTGATCGATGGAAATTTGGTGGACTGGCAGTTTATCAGTTCTTGCAGGAAATGAAAGTGAAGCTGGAAGGAAATGTGGAGGGGACAGGTAGTTTCTGTAGATCTTCGGGTTTTCAGTGGGAAGTGCTGCTTTGGATGTAAATGATCATTGGATCCATGGTTTTTGGGCTGTTTTGCTTGTTTTTGGATCTTTCAGTGGATCTTTCAGTGAAACACTCCTTCCAGTTTCTTAAACGCGTTTCTGCCAGCGGATTCCATAAAAATGAATAAAATAACATTACTTAAAAAAAAAAAAAAAGTGGGTGCTTCTTTTTTTTGGGGGGGGGGGGGGGGGGGGGAGAGAGGAGGGAAGGCCCAGATCAGATCATCAGAGGAATTGAAGGTTTGATCTTTGCTGAGCCATGCCACCGTTTTCTTTTCTTTGTTTATTAGGAGGGCATTGATTTGATTTGTGGCTACCCTTTCATTTGGAACTTTTTTCACATCTTTCTAGTGGAAGTGAGTGAAAGTATCATTTTCATATCGTTTCTGACCAAAGCAAAAAGATCTAGGTTTGTTGCCATCTAATGATGCAGTTGCAATCCGAGAGGATCAAGATCAGAGAAAAGAAACAGAGAGAAAGGAACTTTCTAAAATCTGATAAATGGAAACGATGGATCTTGGCTTGTCAATCTGGATTAAATAAAATCTGAAGCCACATCATTCATAACAAGCTTGCAGAGTAAATTTTCACCAATCTCAACATTTGTAAAATGTTGTCTGCCGAACATTGGGCTGACCATTTAACATGTCAACTGATTTGCAAATCGAGATCCAAAGAGGAAGAATAATTTACATGGACATTAACTGTTGAAGTGAAACAACTTTTACATGCTAAGAAAGATAAAAGGATGCTATCGCCTAAGCTTTCTTAATAACCACTTCCTTCGTTGATTGACATCCATTGCCACAAACATCTGGGCATTTTGCTCATCTTCGAGAAGTTTGCTAGCATCTAAGAAGAGCACATCATCCATGCCCGGTATGGCTTGAAGAGCATCAACTATGCTTTCAATGGAGCTATAATATTGGTCTTCATTGTTAAAACTAGTTTTGACCATAAGTGGCCTCCCATCAAATGGATGTAGTGTTTCTTGATTGGTTCTTGGGGCTTTTCTTGATGCTGGCATTGATGAAGCATCAGCTTTCCGCCTTTTCCTTTGATCAGGTATTTCAAACTCTGCAGCCAGAGATTGCAGATCCCCAAAGATATCATTGAACCCCATATCAAGAGGATCATTGTCAATCTCTGATTTTATACCCACACTACCCGTTCCATGTATCCTCGTTGGACTGCTACTAGAAGGGGATTCATCCTCCTCTTCACCTACAAAAGTACATTGTCAAAACCTACGTTTAGTACATATGTGACACCCAAAAAGAATGAAGTAACATTGTTCATGGATAGGCAATTCCCTTCCACACACATAAACAGAGAGAGGGAGAGAGATGGACCGGCATAATTTTCTGCCTCCAAATGCCACCCATGTATACTTGCATCTCCATAAATCAAGAACAAATCATTATAACTAGGAAGAGTTCTGTTGCAGTATGATCGCGCATCAGGGTGTTCCTGCACAAGCCAAATTTAAGCTAATAGGAACATCTCAAATTTTGTGCAGAAGAAAATTTGGTCATACAGCACCTTTAGATAAGTAGCCCAGCGATTATCATCAGCAATGATCATCTGTCGCATCTCATCCCAAGCAAATCCATCATGGTCGAGTAGATTTTTCATATCATTGAATCTTTTCCTCAAGTTCATAAAACGACTTTTTAGGACATCTTTGTCATATTGATGCCCAAATTCTGCACTAAATTTTGCAACCATATCACCCCAGGCAAGCTTGTTAAATTTTTTATCAATCAAACTCCCTTGACGGACTTGCTCTAGCATTAGATCAATGAAATATCGATCCATTGATGGTATCCAATCAGTTCTCCGACAGTAGCCATTTTTCAGTATGGTTCCTCGAACAATTAAAAACAAAGAATATGTTGAATGAAAAAGTAATGTTCATCAAAGTTGCTAAAACTAATGGATAAATCAATGGAAATAGTAAATGCCCTGCCTTTTGGATAATATGAACAACACAACTTATAGAGCTAATGCAAGTGCAGATAATCTTAGTAACAGAAAATCTCACCATATCCATTGCAGCCGGCATCTCGACCTGATCTCCGGTCCTTCCCATCAGTTGAATTTTCATAGATCAAGCACAAATCATTATAATTTGGCTTAGAATTGTTCCTGTACGACTCAACATCTGGGTATTCCTACATTTACCATATGTTAGCTACTTTCAAAAGGAAAGCTTGACATCTAAGAACAAAACAAACAAGCAAAGCACCTTGATATAGGTATCCCAAACATCATCACGGGCTGTAACCATCTGACGTGTTTCATCCCAAGAAAACACTCTCCGATCAAGAAGAGTCCTCATATCATGATATTGTTTCCCTAGACTTTTATGATGATTCCTCAAAAATTCCTCATCAAGTTGTAATCCAAAACTTTCCATAAATGAAAAAGAAATATCCATCCATACTTCAGTATTTAAAACATCACTTATCCTGTTGCCTCTATGCACTTGCTCTAACAAAAGGTCAATAAGATGTCGATCCATCAGAGGAGTCCAATCTACCCTTGAACAACCATTACTAGCATGGAATTGGGAGGCATCTCCTACAATGTCATCACATGAGAAAATACTCTCATTACCACCTAGGGAAAAAAATCTTATAATAGGCATGTCTTTTCAAAAAAAATGCATACCAATCATCAAATCTGGGTCTTCACTTTCAAGATACACACTTTTGTGGGCCATACTGCACCTTCCATTAGAACTTTCTTGGCCAAATATAACACATAGTTTGTGATAGTCAGGCACCGTTTTGTTTTTGTATGATTGAGTGTTGGGAAGTGCCTGCATATATTACACTTAAGCTGGAAAAGAAAAAGCATGACACAATGAGAACAGAAAATTAGAGATATACGGAAATTCACCTTCATGTATGCATCCCAAGTATAATCCGCAGCAATGACCATTTCTCGTGTGTCATCCCATGAGAAGCCATCCTGTTCTAGTAGTATCTTTATGTCATTATATTGCATCCTCAGGTGTTTGGCCTGAGACTTCAAAGCATCTTCATCATAGTGACATCCAAATTTTACATTGAACAGTGCAACAATTTGAGTCCACGCCTCAGGTATGAACAAATGACCAATTTTATTCCCTCCAAGTGCTTGGTTAAGCAACAAGTCAATAAAATGACAATTCATTGCTGGTGTCCAATGTGTACCCAGCATCTCACCTCTATCATGGTGATGGCCTTTGTTTTCTCCACCTACAAGAGTAGTAAAGCCCATCATAGACATATCCCAAAGTACGCCAGAAGTAGCCAAATACTTATCACCATAGACACAGCAATTTACTAACATCTTTCATAAAGACTGAAGTTATATTCCTAGTACATGTTGGTCATCAAATCTTTGTGTCTCATAGGCCCCTACAAAAGATAATTATTAACAGAAAATAAACTAATCATGCGAATTTTCTGATAACTTGCTGTTAGAGAAAGAAATGAAGTAAGAAAACCAGAGATCCATGTTCAACCAGTGAAATATACATGGCATTAAAAGGCTAAGATAACAAATAGTATAGTGTATCCACTTTTCTTGTCAAGTTTTCAGTGTTAAAAACTTGGACAAACAATCAGATGCCATGATACAATCCCCTATCCTAACCTTCAGAAGAAAAAATTTTCATGTCTGCTTACACAGAATCAAAGCTCACCATTCCATGCTGGTAATATTTTAGGCCCAGTGTTTCTTCCTTGGCACATATGACTTGAAACTCCATTATTGTTTGCATTTCCATAAATCAACCTCAAGCCTTGGTAGTTTGGCATCTTCTTCTTTCTGTAGGTACGGGCATCTGGATGTGCCTAACATATAACAAAGGAAATTAAAATAAGCTATATCAGTCCATTTACATGTTGAATGGATATAGAGATATACCTTGATATAGTTATCCCAAACACGATCATCAGCAACTACCATTTGTTGTTTATCATCCCAAGAAAACCCTTTTTGTTGAAGTAGACTCTGAACATCACTGTAGTGCTTCAACAGTTTCCTATATCTACGCCTTAAAAAGCTTTTTCCATACTGAAAACAAAACTTGGCATTGAATGAACCAAGCATCGCATTCCATGCTTGTTTGTTGAATGTGTTCTTACTGTTATTGCCCTTTCTTAGATTGTCCAGCATAAGCTCAATAAAGTATTGGTCCATGGCCAACGTCCATTCTATTTTTGGGCGCTCATCACTTGCTGTAGGAATGGTACTGCCAACAGCTAGAATTGAGATGTTAATTAGTGAAAATGTTTGTTCTTTTTTCTTCTAAAACAAAAAGCAGTTCCAACCAAGAAGGAATACATTTACATGCAATAAAAATCAATTTTAACAGCATTTAAGGCACTTGCAAATAAAAAAAACATCATCAAATGTTCATTTGCCTCCTGGTATGTCTGGCTTAGTTTACATTTTAACATTTTACATGTTTGAATAAATAAGGAAGCAATAAGGTATGTCTGCTTAATTTGCAATCAAATGTGAGCATGAATAAATCTATTAGTATGCTAAGACGCTGTATGCAGTAACTAAAGATTGAACAAGGGTTACATTAAGGGTTCATAGGTTTGCATTTAGTACACAGACACTCTCCATGAAAGTATATATGATACTAAAACACTGAAAACATTACTAGGATTTGTCAATCAAATCATATGAAACATTATTACAATGGCATTGTTATATTGAATTTTACTAGCACATGCTTGTTCATCATTCTCAAAATGTTAAATAATCATAAATAACCCCAAAACTGACTCAATGTAACCTGGCACTAGTACCGTACACACAATGCCAATGGAAATATATAACCTTACTAGTAAATAAAACACACCGAAATTCACCCCTTGAGCATCATCATCAAAGTCAATATCATGACTTGACCGGCTGTATCTTCCATCTGCTTGTGTATACGCATATATCAAGCACAAGTCATTGAAATTCATCAAAGTTTTATTCCTATATACCTGTGCATCTGGTTGACCCTGCAAATCCATTATCCTGAAATAAGAGCATATAAAAACACAAAGACCTTGACATAAACCAAAACATTGTCCCCACCTTGACATACGCATCCCAGACATTCGGTGGGGCAACTACCAATTTCCTTGTGTCATCCCAACTAAACCCGTTTTGCTCAAGAAGGTTCTTCACATCGTTATACTGCTTCCACAAATTTGTATAATGACTTTTCAAAGTATCCCTATCATATTTACACCCAAACTTTGCATTGAAAATGGACAACATATCAGTCCAAGCTTGTTTGTTAAATGTATGACCTAATCTATTACCCCTATGCATTTGATCTAACATAAGATCAATGAAATATCGTTCCATTGTTGGCGTCCAATTTGTTCTCGTTCTATCACTGCTCGTAGGTGCATTGCTTCCCATTCTTCCCCTAATAATACACAAAAGTTTCATTGATCAGTTAATTTAGAATTGCAGTATTTTAACAAAAAAAAAAATGAAATTTAAATAACAACTTACAAGTTCATAAAATCCAAAGTTAATATAAGATCAAATGAAAATCACTTAAATATAAGCTTAAATGAAACAAAAATTGAAAAGATAACCAAAAAAAAAAAAAAAAGCTATTAATTTATATGTTCACAAAGAGAACTAAAGAAAAAGGCATAAACAATCGTTAAATTTAAGGTTTCTGTTACCTAAGAGTTTCAAGCAGAGAAATTTATCTCAATTGAGTTGAGATTACGTTAAGTTAGTTAGCTCAATCAAACAACTAAAACTCAAAACTTAATTAATTTTCTTTTGTATTTTCCTTCATCTTCCCAGTAACCACACGGAAACAGAAGCAAAATTGTTAGTAACAGAGAATTAGGGTTTGGTACCTTTGGTTTTTGTGAGAGATTTGGCGAACGAGAAAATTTTATTAGAATGAAGAGAATTTTTTTTTTTCTTTTCTGGCAAATTTGATCGAGAGTGTGTTTCAGGGGTGCTTCGGATTCCAAGCAAACAAATGAAAACCGGGTGCTTTGGATTTACAGGGAAGGAGATCTACGGCCTGTTTGGCTGCTGGGAAAATGGGTCGTTAGCTGGCAAGGAAGGCGGCTCAAAAGGTCACCAATTGGACCCTTGAAACTAGTCCTAAGGCCCTCTCTAACCAAGGACGTTGGGTCGAACGTTGGCCCAAAATTCTGATGATTGGACCCAACATCCTTAGTTATCCTTTCTTCTGGACCATATATTGATGGATTAGATCCAATATCCTAAATCTACGATTTTGTATCATTATTTTTTACCGTATTTATGTATCGTATTTTAAATTATCGATATTTTTACCTCACACAAACAAACCTTTATTTATATTTTGATAATTCTAGAGCTTTACTTAGATCTATTTTCTTTTCTAATGATCTTATTAAAATGCATACAAATCTATAATATTTACTTGTAATATTTAAAATTAAAATTATTTATTTTCCTAAATGCATCGGGCATGTATTTCAGCAAGGAAAAAAAGTAAATTTTAGTATTAAAAAGCCCAAAAATATTTGAAAATATGTTAAATGCTATTCAATATTCTCCCTTTTATTTTACACAATTTTGTTTTCAATTTGTCCAACTATTGGGTTTTATAGATGTTCATACCATTCTTAGATGTATATGGTATAATTTTATCAACAATAAAAAAAATCATTTTATTAATAATGTTCTTAAATCACTATTCAATTTTTCTATATAAAATTTTATTAAAAATTGAATTCTAATCGCTAAAATTATTGAATCCATCGTTATACCATCATTATACCAATAGTCCACGCGGCGGTTGCATTTGTTTCATTTCAACTTTCCTAAGATAGCTTTCAAGTTTTGGATTCTATATGCAAAATTGAAATTACATATATGGAGAGTGGATCTTCTCAAAATTAATAATAATTTTTTCATTATCTTAACATTACAGTTCATTAGCCCCTAAAGGCCAAAACACAGCTATAGCCCTTTATTGCCATATGGCAGGCTAGCTCAAATTATTCCATTCATCACATTGTAGGAAGTAGAAACTAAAACCAAGCAAAGATCATCCGGCTACTAGAAACTAGCACCGAGCACTAGTTCACGTGTACAAGAGGATCAACAAAACTTCCTCTTACAATCAATATGGAACACCAGTGAAGTTGAAGTTATTGCAAGAAGTCCTGAAAAACAGCAGGGAAGAGCTGAAACCTAGCCTTGATCTAGCCAGATCAAATTGTACAAGATTATTCTCCATTTGGTAAGCTCCAATAATAATTGAAGCTCGATTGTTCAGTCCTCCATCAACAAAGGCTAAGCAAGAAACTCCTGGTGCAGCTTGAATCATGGAGTTTGCTCCGAAAATCCTCCATACAACATGCTGATCATGGAGCACAAGGTCGATATTTGGAACCCGTGGTCCAACGTTGGTGCTTTTAAAACTGTTCGAGTTGAAACAAACCCCAAAAGGTTCAACAGGTTTTACTTGGGGAATGCTACAGAGCTCCTTAGTGAAAAATTGAGTGAAAGCTTTGAAGATTGAGTGTTCAAGAACTGTACAAGGATTGATTGTGCTGAGCTTTGTGCCTCCAACACCTCGTCTATTGATTGATAACAGAGTTGTGTTTATTGGAACATCCTTGTTATTTATTTTGATAGATCTCACTTCTATGTAGTACTCTCCTAGTGGACTAATGATAAGTGGAGTGTAGCTTAAAGGGCGTGAGATATCGACATCAGGGAGCATATAATAAGGGCTATCCCCAAAGAAAATGACCCCATCAGGAGCTAGACACAAGGCAAATGTTGGGGCAAAACCAGCAAATCCAAAGTTTGAGGCAAGTTGACTTGGTACAGAAATAGGGGAATGCCCCAGTCCAGCTACCCCTTGAACATTTTCTGCTAACCCTCTTTGCAGTAAAAGCGAAGGTGCACAAGTAAACAAGAACTGAGGTATCCTAACCAGGCGACCAGGGTTAGACCCTTGAGTGGATTCAATTGATAGCACATCTTGGGCAAGCTCACTCATGGCATGTAGGCCTGTCACAGGGTTCATTGACATGAGCCCACGTGTTGTTGTGGCACCCTGGTCTAGCCTTGGAGGAGCAAGTGTGGCAATAGTGAGTGCTGGCTCTAGCGCATTGAGTTGAGTGGCATCAAGGGGCGCGGTAGGTTGATGAATGGTAGCTTTGCTCACAAGTAACCCATAGTAACCTTCCATTCAAGTCCACAACAAATAGGACTTGCAATAGAGGAGTTCTCTTGTAAATGTTAGCCACATAAAGATTGGTCATGTTATCTTGGTGCACTGGTAAAACAAATTTGTTTGGCTTGAAAGTTGTTTGAGATGATAGAAGGGTGGAAGAAGAGAAGGAAAGGAAAATGAGAAGCAAATAAAGGGAAGAAGAAGAAGAAGAAGAAATTAGTGGAAGAAAGGAAAGCCTGGCCCTTGTACAGGAAAAGGTTAAGCGGTGAGGAAATAAAGTGTAAATTGAGTTATTTATGGACTATTATGTTCTCAAAATCAGACAGTTTTATGTCATGGCATTGTTCATGTGAAGGTTTAGGCGTTATTTGCTTTTGGCAGCCTGAAAGTGAGGCTTCGAAAGGCAGGTTCACATGCTAAATCTGGCAAAGTGAGGCTAAAGATGAACATCAGAACATCGGAACAAAATTGAATTGGTTAGTGTGAGAGGCACTTCTTAGTGGGCAAGAGCTTCACCAGCCAGCAAATGTTTGTCATTCTTGTGTATAAAAATGCATCTTTTGCGCTTTTTTCCTTATTTTTCTTGTATATACGTCAATCATATCTATATCTATTTATAGGCATCAAAACATCACCTGAAAAACCTGAATCCAAAACTTATCCCATCACTTCTTATTTGCTTAGTTTTCCTAGTCATCTGCCAAACAATTTCCTTAATCTACTGTCAATTATGGGCTTCATAGGGAGAGAAAATTCAATATTTTGAGCATGACTTTCAAAGTGGGCTCAAGTTATATCCTTCTATGAACAGTCATCAACTAGGCTATTTGGTTCCACAGCTAAATGGCTAAAGTAGTGGCATCATAGGCTCATGGCCCCTCCTGCCCAAATCATCAAAAAATATAAATCACAAACAAATGCCCAAATGGGTTAAGCCGAAAACATGGAACAATAGTTACAAATCAATCACTTTCAAAAACTCAAAAAGCGTGTGAGCCTCCCGCTGGAGTTTCTTCTAAGCAAATAATTGAAGATTGCAATCATAGAAAAAATTTAGTAGTCAAAAGCTGAAGCCAAATGGACCCTTTTTCTAACATTAGATGGGGATTGATGCCCAACATATTTTCATATTTGAAACCAACATCATATAAAATAACATATGGTACATCTTTTAAGAAAGCAACTGAACTATACCTCCCCTTCTTTTCTGACCATTCCTTCTAGCTACATCCCACAAACTTTACCTACATTTTCTTCTACATAGTAACCTTACTAGTATTCCATTGTCCAAGACATAAAACCCCCCAAGAAAAAGAGTTTGAGGGATTGATTATCTAAGAAAAACAAAAATTTGCCATTGGCAAGAAACACAAGCAATGTCTTCTTGAACCTTGCACGCTTGTAAAAAGCACCCTAGAGAAGAAAAACCAAAAAGAAAAAGAAAATTTTACATGATAGTGCAGCTGTTGGCGTTCTCATCGCTAAAGAAATGGGCATAGGATTCAGAATTTGCAGCATGCATTGGAGGAGGACCATAATTTGCATGGGGATATGGTTGTGCATACATCATTGGTTGATACATCCCCCCATTCCCGTTTGCTCGCTGTTGATTCATCATCATGGCCATGTATTGTTGTTGACTATAGGGATTCCCTGGCCCCATTCCTTGGTAGTACCCACCATTCATTGCTGCAGCTGCTGGTAGTCCTTGCACTGCAGGAAAATTACCCATCTGGCTCATTGGAAAATTTCCCACTTGGCCCATATGACCGATTTGACCCATATTATAACCCATCTGACCCATGTGACCCATCTGACCATCCATTTGGCCCATCTGCCCCATATTCTTACCGCTACCGCCACCACCACCACCACCTCTCCCACCACCACCTCCGCCTCCTTTGCCATGATTAATAATATCAATGTCATCAAACCCACCATTTTTAATTTTTCCCATCTCATGGCCCCCACCACCATTTTTGCTCCAACCCTTTTTAGCTCCATTGCCATTATTGCTTCCACCATCATTGCCCCCATTACTATTATGGGCACCCTTATTTTTCCCATCCCATTCATTTTTACCCTTACGATTACAATCTTTTCCACCTTTATTCTTCTTAAAAAATCCTAGTAAACCACCCCCTCCTTTTTTACCACCATTTTTATCTGCTCCCCCCTTGTTTCCCTTCCCTCCTTTGTTCTTATCACCACCTCCTTTCTTTCCTCCATTACCATGCTTCCCATCTTTGTTTTCTCCCATGCCTTTCATTACTAGAGGTATATCAATAACACCTCCTTTCTTGCCATAATCCCCACCACCACCTCCTCCTTTTTTACCATTCACGGCAGGGCCATTAATCATGCCATTGGGCCCGTATGACCCATGGCCTTTTCCCATCAGAGGTACCATCTTGTTTTGCATTTGATGCCCATGGCCATGACCAAATTCCTCCTCATCATCATCAAACTCATCATCAAACTCATCATCAAATTCATCATCAAACTCATCACCAAACTCATCATAATCATCATCACTTTCATCTAAATCATCCTCAGGCAAGTGGAACTTGACAGATTTCTGGTCTTTGGAAGGTACCTTAAAATCTTTCTTCATTTGCTGCATATGCTGTGGTGCAAATTGCTGCCCTCCTTTTTGCTGGTTATTTCCACCACCACCCTTCTGAGATTTGTTGTCCTTCCCACCTTTGCCACCATCCATATGCATGTTCTTGAACTGGTTGGTGAGTTGGTTTGGGAAATTGTTTGAACCCTTTTGAGCTCCTGCCAATAGCTGTGCATGTTTCCCTGCCTTCTCCAGTTTCTTGATGAGTATAGCTGGATCAACATTTCCTGTCACTGTTACCTTCCCTTGCTCTGCATTTATACTAGTAGTATACACTCCTGACCCAAAAAAAAACAATGAACCAAATAAAACCAACAACCCAAAGTACTAAACTAAAGGAACCATGGAAAAACAAAAGAAATTAACATACCATCAATTTTCTGCAGTAGTTTCTTTATTTTCTGCTTACAGCCATCACAACTACACTGTATATTCACTCTGAGTAACCATGTCTGAAAGCGAAAAGCATTCCCAAAACAACCAGAGAAACAGTGTTAAACATAAATCAAAACTGACAAAAAGGGTTATTGACATTATTGAAAAAAAGTGCCGTAAGTAACCAATTAAGTTACCTGCATCTTCATAACCTCTTGTTTATTCATCCTTTAAGGAACAGATCAGAATACGGTTGTAAGAAAAGATCCAAGAACCTGAACTGAGAAAGACAGACAGACGGACAGACAGACAGACAGAGAATAGAGATAGAGAAGCTGAAACTTTTGCTTCTTGGTTGTAAAGAAAGAAAAGAAAAACCTCTGCTACAAGATTTAAGAAAGAGACACGAGTTTAAAGGAGGTTGTTGGGCATTAAAACGCTTCGATTTTAGCTTTGGGAAACCTTTATTTTTAGAGAAGAAAGAAAAGAGAAAGAGCTAAGGCGGTTGCAGAAGAGGCAAGGTATCATGGGATTTAAATATAAAAAAATAATTATGAAAAAACAGCTAGAAAAGGAGGGGTCTCATGAACCTTGATAGTATGAGCTCAACTGTATCACTTCGCTTTATACTGTATAAAGCTTCCCAAGTGATTTACAGCCAAATTCTTGAAATAAAAAACTTAATCAAAGATTAAAAAGAATTAAACCTAAAAGAAAAGTTTAGTGATTGTGGCACAGTGAAACACTTGGGCCTGGGACCAAACCGGTGTTACACACTTCTCTCTGGACCGGTGTCACACACTTCTCTCTGGACCGGTGTCTGGTCTGGTCCCCATTGCATTGCTGCTGTTTCTGACTTGTTGTTGGCCTTCTTAGGCAAGTGGATTTATGATAGAATATAATTGCACATGCTCTGAATTGAAAGTAGATATTTGAGTAGATCACATTTGATCCTTGTTGAAATTAAGATCAAGTTTTTTAATATAGTTTGGACTTTGGATCTTGGAACATGAAAAAAAAAAAATTACTAAAAGAAAACTAGGAAAAATAAATTAAGTAGAAAAAAATGTTCTATTATTTTTTTCTTTTAAATTTAATTCATCCATTTTTAATAAGAAATGTTTTTAATAATATCAAGTTTCTCAATTTTTTCTTTTTCCCATACCTTGATATTGTATTAAAAAAAGAAATAAAGAAAAGGACTACCCATTAATGGCATATATCATAATGTTTAACTAATAATTTAAAAAATTTTCTGTCTAGCCTTTTCAGTGAAGTGGGTTAGGACTTAAAAGATGAGGAAAAAGTGATACCAACCAAAAAAAATTTTAAAAAAAATGAACTACTACCATTAAGGCATTACTTAATTTTTTTAAAATAAATGAAAGCATTGTATGATAAATGCACTGTTACATCTCATTCACTCCATTCATTCATTTGTATGTTTTAACATCAATGGCTCTAAATAAAAAGGATACAAAAGAATGAATAAGATGTGACAGTATATTTAGCACTCATCCTAAATGCCAAAAGCCTTTGATCTATCAACAAGTATTCGAATTCAATTGATTAAGATCGTTCTTTTTAATGAAAAAGCTCTTGAGTTCGAATCTTGTCGGTGATCATTTGTTGAGATCATTTATAATGCACGACCTGCAGTCACTTATATTAGATTGTTAGATATGATACATCTTATCCTAATATAAAAATTTGAGCAGTCTATTTACCTCAAATTTTTTTTACCAAAAAAAAAAAACCCCTTTGATCTAATTAAATATTTCACATATCTATTTCAGTATTTTGTGCTTTCCCCAAAAATAATACATCTCAAAGCATATTATTTTAAACTTAGATTGTGTGATTGAATTATGATTATTAAAATTAAAATTTTAATATTTTGTTAATAAGTTATGTGATTATTATTTTTTATATTTAAAATTATCAGATTAAATTTTAATTACAGAAATTAAAATTTGAATATTTCATCAATAAAACGCACTGATTGTTGGCTAGAATTATGCATTTCCACTCTTATCACATTTATTTATTTTTAAATGTTTTTCAAATATTAAAGAATCAACTTGTTTTTGTTGCAGTGGGTGAAATTAAATACAATGCATGTAGAGAGGTGTGGTAATATAAGTGTGTGAACTAACCATGTAAGCTCAGTTATGGATAAGGGTTTCCTAGGGTAAAGTAAATAATGACTTGCCATTATAGAATTGCCAACCTTCTTACATATATTAATAATTTTTTTTACAAATTTATTTAAATTGATAAAATATTTTTCTTAATAAGGTTAATGCCACCCTAGATATAGTAGCTTAAATTCGTTACAAAACATTAGCTAAATTTTAAATTATTTAATTAAATCATTTGAAAAAAAAAATGATCTTAATTAATCCTTACATCTCACGTTCTTTTTCTTTCTTTATTTATTGCCTTCGAAATTTACCCAAAAGATAATCATTAGTTCATTGCAAAAGTTAATGCTTTTTTTTTCTCTCATAAAATAATTAGCTATTAATTATTAATATAAGACGTGCAAGTTTTATATAAAAACAAAAATTAGAATCCCTTGCATTCTTAATTCTAATTATTAGATGTCTAACACATATAATATATTTTCAAAGCTTAATTATCAGATGTCTAACACATGTAATATATTTTCAAAGCTTTAAAAAAAAAAAAAAACACAATCATTAAACGCATGCATGAGAATGTGTCATTATAATTCAGTGGACCACTCAAAGTTGTCAATTCGTAAATTTTTTTTATATATAAAAGATGGTCATATGAAAATAAAGTAAGGAGTTGCAAATATCTAAATTCAAACATTAAATTTATTAAATATTTTTTAAAAAAATAATTATAAATTAAAATTTGAATTTTAAATTCATGAATTTATCTTTACATAATCACCAACTTCTAATTATAAATTAATTTTTAGTGTAAAAATTTAGATGAATATTTTTTTTAATTTTTAGTATTGCCCAATGATGTATATAGCAATGTTAATTATCCTTAAATTTCTCAAGGAAATAATCAATTATGAATAAAATAATACGTTGTGTTTGTGTTAATCGAGCCTTGGGTTTTGATTCTTCTTTAAATCATATGAACTGTCACATTAGGGAAAGTAACTCAGATCTGAAGTCTTATAGGCGACAGACCATTATCAGACCAAATGGTGCAGGCTTTTGTTTTGCAAATTTACAGTGATTCTTTACTTGTTTGACCATTTGAAAAAAAAAAAAAAAAGGAAAAATCATAGGGAAATGTGGTAGTACAAAAGATAACATATGATATTAATCAGAAAAACTATAACATTTTTTTTAGAAATAACTATCTCTCTTCAATATAATATATAGTTTTTGAATGCAAAAAGTATATACAAGGAAAATAAATGCAAACAAGATTGATATAATTGGTTTTTTCAACATTAATAATTTTGGGTTCGGGTCTAAATTTTTTATTGAAATCATTTTAGATGTATGATTTATAACAAATATTTTTTAAATTATTAAATATGATATATTTTATTTTGATTTAAAAAATTTAAAAAATTATTTATTTTTAATTTTTTATAAAAAATTCAAACAAAATTGTCATATATATATATATATATAAATAATTAAGTTCTGTGTTTTGGTCAAGGGCTTGACCAAAAGAATCTGAAACATAAATCAAGTTGTTCTCAGATACAAACAAGCACTAGAGTCAAAACTACAATTAAAGGTGTTATAACAATGATTTTCTCTGAGTTTGGACCCTTATTTGGCAAGCAAAATTATTGTTTTAATTTGTTTGTCCACCTTAAAAGCCGAACCCAAGAGAAAAAAAAAATTTTGCTATCCCCAAATATCTTCTTTATAGTTTTCTTTTTTCTGGAAAAGATGTTTGAATACTGACAAAACAGACCCCCTCACCATAGGGTATGTACCCCATAAAGAAAATCTAAACAACCCTTGCAAAATCGTTTTTTGGATATGGGGATTAAGCTGCAAAATTGGCTTTTCCACTCTGAAACTTTTGACTTATTAAATTTCTTTATTTTTTTGAAAAAATTGGGTCATTAAAATTGATTCAATCTTGCTTGTAAATTGTGCGTATCTCTCATGTCATGTAGCTATCTATACATATAAAGAAAAAAATATATATGAAATAGGTATTTCATATTATTATGTTTTATCATATCTTATAATTAAATAATAAATAATTATTTTGATAAATTTTTAAAATTTTTTTATAAAAATCATTGATCTTTCTAAAAACATGATTATGTAAATTTAAATGAAAATGACATATATTTACATTAAGTAACCTGTAAATTTTTTATTTGTGAAATACTGCTAGATTTTGAAGAAAACCTTGCTTCAAAGCAATTAATGTTGGATATGTATCTTAGAAATTGGATGAGATCAAATCCCATGATGATTATCATTATCAAAGTGGCAAATTCATTCTTCTAAAGTTGGTTTTATAACTTTGGGTCATATAATTACATTGCTTTTGGATCATAAATGAACTAGATCAACAAATTGCTTTTAGTTTTAATAAAGAAGAATCATTCAAAGTACTTTTTTTTTTCTTATTCCTTTTATTATATTTTATTTAACAACACAAAAGCATAGATTAATCTATGCAAACATAGGATTTTGAAGTATTTTCTATATTGGAAAGATGGGTGATAAAGTTTTTATTAGTAAGAAAAAAGGGATATTTAGATGTTGGGTTGGTAGCTTTCATATCATCATTAAGAACTTTAGTTATACATCTAATCTCAAATTATAGATTTTTCAAGCAAATAGTGAAATTCATGTGTAATTTTATGAACCAATAAGGCATCAAAAGTTATTATTTGCAAGCAAAAGGTGAAGTGATCACCTAAAACAACCACTTCAAGAGAAAAACAAAATGATATAGGTACTCAATAATATCAAAGATTCTAATTTGAATTGATTTTCCTCAATATTCCAAACATCCAAGACCCAAAATCTGAAAATCAAATATTCATTGTGGGATTTTTGTGAGGAGTATTTCGAAAATAAAAATTTAATTATATTAAATCAATACAAGAGAATGATTGTATTTTAAGGTTATTCGAAAAAATAATTAATTCGAGATAAAATAAAAAAATATCTTATATTTAAAAAATAATGAATACCAAATATTATAAATGTATTAGTTTTAGGTAGGGTTGACATCAGGTCAGGTTCGGAGTGAGTTTTGATTGCCTCAAATCCGATCAAACTTTATGTGTTATTAAACTCAAACCTGATCTTACTCAAAATTTTTTTTGTTTTTTCATACCCGAACTAATCCCGACCCGATATTATATAAAATGTACATGACCCGACCCGAAATTAATAAAATATTATTTTTTAAAAATATAAAATATTATTTTTTAAATATAAATATTTAAAAATATCATTATATAAATATATATAAATAAAAATTAAATAATTAATTAAAAAATAATATTTTATATAATATCGAATCGGATCGGATCGAGTTTGTCTAAAACTTGAAACCGATCAGATCCCGATTGCTTCATAACCTTATCCGACCCGACTCGAAATCTTAATTTAAAAAAAATTTAATTTCATAAGATCGAATCAAATCAAAATTCATCATAGACGAATTGAATTGTCGATCCTAATTTTAGGTACTTTTAATGAGTACATAGAGCATCTTTCATGCAAACAAATGAACAAAAAAAAGGTAACATGAGAGTAACTATTGGGAAATATCTAGAGTGTGATGTGAAAATCAGATGAGATATGTGAAGCCTTGTTGAAAGGAAAAATGGAAGTCTAAAGCAATCCATGACTTGATATTTGTACAGACTGAATATAACAGAGAGTATTGCATCCTGGTATTTGGACTGACATTTTTATCTGATGCCTTATTTGCAGTCAACGGAAGTTGATCAGGTTCAGATATGGGGTAAAACAACAGTAGGATTTTGCTATTCCTTTAGTAAAAGTTATCACCAAGAGGTTTTATAACAAGCTTTTGTCACTTCCATTTTTTCATCTGTGTTAACAGTGGAAAACCTAGAAGAGAAATATTGCAGTTTACAGTACTGACATTGAAATTATTTTCAGAAGGCAAGTCAGGGATATTCAATTTTCTATCTGTATCTGGAATTTGCTCAACTATTATAACTTATTTCAAGCAATATTTATACAGATAATGTTACAATAATCCTCGTGAAACATTTCAAAAGTAAAATTTTGAATGTATTATATTAAAGCGAAAAAGTGTACATTTAAAATCATCTAAAGAATTGATCAAGTCTAGATAAAGTCTGAGAGTATCCCTGATCCCTATATAAGACAAATAGTAATGTGGAATTAATGGTTCTCCTAAATTAGAAATTCATTTATTTGAATAATTTTGGAATGGTTTGCTTAAATTACAATGGTTCATATAAGTGGAGCAAATTCCTTGCTATCTTCTCTTTGCAAGAAAAGCAAAAAGAAGGGGCACTGAGCAAAGCAAGCAAGAACAAAAAGCAAAGATATTTTTTTGTTGCACATAAAAGAAGAGAAAGGCGCTCAAAAATAGGACTGAGTGAGGATAGTGACATGTTTTCACAGCTGGTTGACAATTAAGTTGGGTCCCCTACGTGGGGGTCTGGTAGCCCATCAATTAGGGACAAACAACTAGGGCAGTGGTCTTTATGGGCTTAGACAAGCTCTGGAGGGTCCCCACGCCCTAAACAGGAGCCAGTACTGTACCCTTTTGTTGGAGAGTCACTTCAAGCTCCTCAGGACACAGGCTCTCTCCTTTGCTTCAGATAAGATTAGGGTTATGGTTGGTGTGGTGACACCTGATAACTGATAAGGTTCAATGGTTCTTCAGCTCTGTGTTGGACCGATGGCCATGAGCCAAGCCAAACAAATCAAGCTAGCCTAATAAACAGGATTGGTCTGGTTCAGATAAGATATTAATCAAACCTCAACTAATCCGACTGCTCCACTACCAACCTTTCCCCATTGATCTTCGGCCTGGATTCTAAAATATTTGGAAGACAACAGTAGCTGTCCAATACTCACACTGATTATGACAGTTTATATGGCACGAAGAGAGTTGTACGCACAAATTTTAGTTTCAATATTGAATCAAATCTTTCGAGTTTCTAACTAATTTCTTGGCCTAAAGTCTAAAATTTCAGACCTAAAACTATTAAACTTTCTGATTTTGAAGGTTTCCGACACCTGAGACTTTTGTTGATGTATACAGATTAGGACACGCCATCAAAGAAGTTGAACCTTGAGGATAAAACAGAAGCTTGATGTCCTCATATTACCTAATTTTACTGCTATATGGATGTGATTCATTGTAGGCGAATGACAAATCATATTAAAGACCACTGGCCTGGTTTTAGGTGGAATTCTGATAGGTAGCAGTCCAATAAAGCAGAGTATAACTTGACAAAGGGCCATTGCAATCTAAAGGGCAATAAGCATGGGAATAAAGAAATAATATATTAGCTTATTCATTTACTTTTGAATGTCATTCAAATGCCGCAGCTGACATGAAAATCCCAATAAAGATTCAAATTCTCCAAATAATAAGCGCAAAACCCTTGATTCTTTTTCACTTTAAGATACTATTCAAATACGGGAGACCTCACTTTTGTCCCCCTCTTCTCATAACAACAATCTTCACCACTTTAAGACATTCTAAGTATCTTTACATTTTTTATTCGGCTTACTTGTACACCAAATATTCTCTCTGCCTTTTCTGTTCCACAAGCCTCAGAAAATCGGGGAGAGAGAGAGAGAGAGAGAGAGAGAGAGAGAGAATACAACAGGTTTAACTCAACAGGCTTGGTTTTTTTTTTTTTTTTTGTAAAGCGATATGACAAATTTACAAGAAACATTCAACTCCTGTAAAATTCCTAGCACAATAAAAGCTTTGCCAGTGTATGTAATGTAAGTGTACCAGCAATGTGAAACTATACCAAAATTTCAAGGCAAAAGGTTAAACTCTATGAAAACCTTAAACTTCATCACTGAGAATCTCTTTAATGACTCAGAAGAAATGTTAAATATATACTTCAAAAGCTGTATAAACAATGTCCCTTCACTGAGTCTTGTGCATTTTTATCTGGTATCATTCTAAACTGCTGGTTAAGGTTGATTCTGCAATAAGAAATCTAGAGCTTTTAAGGCAATGCAATGCTGATTTTTTTTTTTAGATTCAAATGAAGAATCCCAAAAATAGATTTTGTTCTTTTTCTCTCACTTTAATCCTTATCTCTATTAGTTCTTGGATCGGCTGGCAACATGCGGGACAGCTTGATTACTTTCACTAATGAATCCCCTCAATCCACAAGATTTGCTTTTCACTTCATGATTCTGCTCCAGGACAGCTTGAGTGATTTGAGCATGAGGAGACATGGTTGGTGGAGACTGATGTAGCTCTACTCCTGCCAAGAAAAATGGCAAACTTGCTTCTGCAGAGATAACGAGTGCAAAAATATCACTCTTTCTTTGAGGGTCTTGAAAGAAACCAAGGTTAATGCCAGTTCCTGAGGGCTGATAGAATCTCCCAGACAACCCTTTCTGGAATGGAATTCTCTTTGGCATATAAATTTCAGGATACAGTGGCATGAAAGTGCAGTTGGGCCCTTCCTAGGCCAAGTAAAATATGGTGACTGTCACGAAGAGAGGAAAGCTTTCACATACTTGGATCATTAACTAGACCACAACAAGTAAATCAGAAGCAAATGAAAACAGAATCAGGCCATAAAAAATGATCAAGCCATTAGAACTAGACCTACTAATTTAATACAAGGTGATATTTTATATTCACATAAATTATTAAATATAATTTTTATATAAAATACGATAAAAATATATAAATTTTAATATTTTACACCATTCAAATACACAAATACCAAGTTTAATTAAAACATATCTTGTAATCCCAAAAAAAATAACAAAAGGATATGATTAAAAAAAATCATAATACCTTATTTATACATTCTTTCAATATAAAATTAGAAGCGATACAGTTTTATCCTTCTTCGGAAACTTCGGGCGTCCAAAAAGAAAATGAACATAACTCATAGAGTCCATCATAGGCAAAAAATTACATGTAAAGAGTTATAATCATTATCAACCAAATTAAAGCTTTGTTTTTAATTTTTTTCTATTCGTCTAGAATTTTATTATTTTCGCTTTCTTTTTCATTTGTTGTTTTAATTTAAGTTTTATTTTCGTTTTGTTTTTCTGTGAATGATTAATAAATGAGCCAAAATGGAAAATTTGTGATTAATTTTGGGCATTAGGGAGATTTGGTCAAAGACTCAAAGAAAGCCAAGAAGGGAATACGGTGTTGTTCCTTGTTTCCCCTTATATAGCTGAGGAAATACGGTGTCGTTCTCCCAACTCTGAATTCTGAAAGCGGAGAAACCCTAATTTTATCAAGTTTTGAGCAAGGTACGTTTTATTTCTTCGTCTTTTGGATCAATTGTATGTCTGTTGTGATCTTGATATATCGAATTGAACCATGTTAAACAAAATTATCTGATCTCTCAAAAAATTAATTTAATTGGAAGTTCGTTGGCATCAATCTGTTGTAGAAAAATACCCTAATCATACACCGTTAATTAAAAAAAATAAGGGAAGATTTTGCTTTGGGATTATTATAGCAGTTCATGATGTTGGTTAATCGGAGATTGTATGCATAGTGGGAACTATAGCTGATTAAGCAGGATTTATGTTTTGGTTTTCTTAGAGAAAAAATTGCTTCTTTAGCCTGAATATGGTTGTGTATGATGTGGGTTAATATCATATTGTTTGAATACTTGGAAAATATAGCTAATTCAACAGAGTGTTTATTTTTTATTTCTTTAAGAAAATATAGCTTTGAATATGGTTATTTATCACAAATCTTGTGTATGTTGTGTACACTGTAGTTTATTGTAGATGGGAGAGCCTGAGGATGGTGCAAAGCCAAAGAGAGTGGTTTTTGTGACAGTGGGAACAACATGTTTTGATGTGCTTGTGAAAGTGGTGGATTCTCAGGAAGTTAAGGATGAGTTATTGAGAAGAGGATATACTCATCTTCTCATTCAAATGGGTCGAGGGTCTTATGTTCCTACAAAGGTATATCATCACTTTCATTGACTAGTGAGTAGCTCTTTATTTTACTTTATATAAGGTTGTGATCAATGATTTTTAATGGAAAAAAAAGAAGTGATTATTGTAATTGCTTTGATCAAATCTGTGATTAGGTGAGATTTATGGGTATGACTTCAAAAATAACAATAATTCTAAGGAAAGTATCAAAATCTTCCAACGCGATTCTATGTTAAGGAATTCACACTTTTTTGATAGGCTTGCTGGTAAAATTTAATGGTTCAAAATATAATGATAAATATGGAGAAATATCCAAATTAATCAATGCTACTACTTTTTTTCTGAACTGAAGATTGCTTCCTCTTCTTCCACGTATTCTTATTCTTGTGATTTTCCTAAGGTTTACCTTTAAATGTAGTCTACTGGTGATGATGGATCTTTGGATGTAGACTACTTCACATTTTCATCAAGCATTGCTGACCATCTGAGATCTGCGTCTCTTGTGATCAGTCATGCAGGTAGCTCTTGATATATATATTTTTCCTTTCACCCTGTTATTATCCATCTTTTCTTGGTAAAAGGTTGTATATCACTCATGGCAAAACTTTTCGAAGTCATTCTTATCCTAAAGATCTGCTTCGTTATTCTTAAATTCCCATTGTGTGGTTGTCATTTAAGTTGGTAAATCCTCAAAAATTGGTGATGAACTCTTTCCGACTTTGTGCAGGTTCTGGGAGCATATTTGAGACCTTGCAGCTTGGCAAACCTCTAATTGTGGTGGTCAATGAAGATTTGATGGATAATCATCAGAGTGAGCTAGCAGAAGAACTGGCAGACAGAAAACATTTATATTGTGCTCGTCCTCAGATACTTCACCAGACTATAGCTGGTATGGATTTGAAGTCCCTCCTTCCATACTCTCCAGGAGATGCCACACCAGTGGCCAAACTCATAAATAGGTTTCTTGGTTTTCCAGAAGATTAATGAGACTGAATATAGTAAAAGAAAGTGAGCAGGCCTAAGGGAAACTTCTTGCTGTACTTTATGGTCCAACAATGCAGTTATGGGTATTTTGATGTTCCATTGAAATTTGAATATACCCAATGGGCCTTACCTGAATATTTATTTTGCAGTTTTTATTTCTCTGGCAGAAAGTGCCACTTGAGTTTCCATAGATATCATATCTTCTCACATATTGTCACCCATTTGGTAGATAGTCTAAAACATGTACTATTATATTAACAGTTGAATGAAAATCCACTGCCCTGTTCTGTCTAAGAGGTAGTAGTTTTGGTTGATGTCATGGTTTGGCTTTGGCTTGACAGCAGATGATAATTAGTCTTTGAAGAAGTCATGGGTGTCCAAATTTAATTCCTTTTCAAGTATAGCAGAGGGTAAATAGATGCAAAGTGCTATATATCAGCATATGGTTGATTATAGTTAGTAAGTAATTAAATATTGATTGTATTTATCAGTAAAACAGTTGGTGCAAAAGTCAAGCTGAGGTTCACATGATTTGCAGGGTTTGATGTCATAGACATCTGAAAGAGGGCTTTAGGTTGAGCTTGCAATGCAGTAGTATCTTGTTTTCATTAGTCTGGACTTGGTCCTACTTGAGTTTGATTCTTTCCAGCTCCAGCTATGACTACCAAAATGCAAGTCACATGACTTCTGGTATTCATAGATGAGGATTACCATCTCTCTGTCTCAGAGATGAAGGGCTCAAATGAGAGAGAAAGAGGCAAGATACAGGGCCTACCCAACCTTGCTGACAGTGATATCATTCTGTTTGTAGGTTCATGAGGCAGGAAAAAGTTGAAAGAGCCTATTACAAATTGAGTTAATGATATCTCATGATTTTTGCTTGGCAAGGTTGTATTTGAATCATTACTGGTATCATCAAGTTTTGCATTTATGGCTACAACTTAACATAAGAATCAAAGCAGACCGGTGCATGACTATTCTACAGGACAATCAATGTTCGGAAATTATATTTTTAGAACCTTTTTTTTTTTTCATTGGACCCGCTGATTTCGGACTTATGTTAGAAAATTTACAGCTGTTTTGTCCTAGGTGACAATAATTATGGAATTGAACAATGCAAACTGGATTCTTTTATCTGATGACGCTTCTGTTCTGCGCTTATGGGGTAACCTAGAGCCTTTTTCAGGATATTGCTGAAACCCCCGAAACAGGGCAATGAAATTGGAGTCTTATAACAACTTGGCAATTAAAATTGGCATTGGAGACAAGAAAGTCAAGCAAGCAGGTTAGCTGGTGCATGGTAATCGTAACATTTCACATGCTAAACATATGCAAATCATTTCACAATGCATCTGATGCGTGTAGATTTGAGATTAAAATAATGAACCTGTGATTTGAGAATTTAAAGTGCGGAAGCTAGAGAACTCTCGTGATTGATGCTGACCGTGATTTTTTAGTAATCTTTCATTTCATGTCCGTAAATATATTATGGTTTGGACCTTTCGATGATCGAATCCTGGTTTACCTGAATTCTATGCAGCCATTGCTGATTTGGTGTTTTGGTGTGCTCTGGTGAGCAGCACATGTGAGTATGAGACAAGAGAAAATCTCTCTTTACTCTGCTAGCTTTATGTAATAACTAATAAATAGTACTGTAGTAGTATTTTCTATTGGACAAAACAATGGGGGAACTTGGTATTTATCTATGTTATTTTGTTTCATTTTCATTCTACAATTCCTTGGAAAAAAAAAAAGGTCCCATGAGCAGATAGCCAACAGTTCCATTTCAGATTCCTAATAAGAAACTTTAGTTAAAGAATATAATTTAATTCAATTAGTTCATAGAGTAGTTATGAAATATAATATTTAACAATCAACATCTGTTGGTTCGAATAACAAAGAGTTCAATTCTCTTTAAATAAGATTTCGGTTTCAAATCTTGTAAATAAAAAAAATAGACGAGCTTATCTCTCTTTATGAGATTTGATCCGGTTCGATTCCAGATTAATTAAAGCTTAAAGTGATTACCGAACACCGAAAAATTTTAAATAATATATATATATATATAATATTTAACAAATTTAAATTCAAACTTTTGTAATCTCTTTTTATATTTTATCTTCTTTTATAAAAAAAATTCAATATGACTGGACCATTTTGGTAGGAAAGCTCAATTAATTTTCCTACACATGGGTCAAGCAACAATTTGATTGGCGCTGATAAATTCCACCATAGCCTCTCTAACTTTATCATAAAAATCACCAAGGATAAGAATTGATACACTTTCCGCACTACATAGCCATGATTTCTCCTTTGTGGTTGGCTGCATTATCGTAAATTGTTTGAAATGGATCCATTATTTAAACTTTATGTAAGTTTACATATATATATATATATATATATATATTTGGAGCTTGGAAGGTTTATCCAGGAAAGGAATGTGTGGGGTCCAAAGTCAAGGACATGGATGACACAAATTTTGCAAAATACAAGTCGATTTATTAGCAAATGATTTGGATATAAGTAATTATGTGAAATGGTAGCAAAAACTTCCAATCTTTTCTTATACAAAGAAAATGACAATTCCTTGGAAAATTACATAAGAATGGACGAATGAAGTACATAAGACACTTGTTTTATCACGAGGGAGAGAGAGAGATGAGGAAAGAGTGCTGTTTTTTGGCCATACATGTAATTTGACTTTCTGTGAAGGAAAGACTCAACCTCCCCTCCCCAACGCATTCCTTTCTCCAAAGACATTACTCTCCCCAGCTCTCTCTCTCTCCTCCTTTCCTCTTTCCTTTTCATCACTCATTTTCTTTCTTGTTCGTTACATTACTTTTTTTCTTTTGTTCATGGAATATAGCAACACCACTGCTACTGCACCACCTGCAATGTCACCAGGGCTTAGTACTGCAAAAAACCATACTCATTACAAGCATCATAATTTCCATTCTACATCTCAAAACCATCAACATAGCACCATCCTTTCCTTAAACTCCATCATTGTAATCATCGTATCCCTCATCTCGATTGTCGTAGTTTTGGCAATATTTCTAATTATAGTAATGCTCCGTAGACTAAAATCTGTCAGAAAGCATGCTAGTTGCAAAGAAAGTGGTAGCATCAACAACACTGGCAGGTTCATTGCTCATACTACTATAGACTTCGATTCTAGTCCTGGTAAGTGTTCATTTTCAAAACTCATGTAATTTTAATGTTTAACATTCATTGCACAGTTCATTAATGTCATCTTTGAGAAAATCGAACATGGTTCCTTTGGCTGTCATCTCATTTTCAAATTTGAATCATCAGAATTCATTTCGAAATGAGTTTTCTATAACCAAACATACCTTTAAGGCGATTTGGTTTGTTGAAATGGATTATGTAAAGGCCTTTGAACTCAAACTTGGCATTTGAAAAATCATTAACAGATCTTTTGTTCCTTTTCATATTCTTATAATCATTAACAAACTTTGATCTTGGGATGCCTGAAAAATGGAGCAGATGTGAAGGCAAGGTGTCTATATGGAGGAAGTATGCGTGCACCTCCAAGTAGATACAGAGGGGTCCAAGTTTTCACTTACAAGGAGCTGGAATTGGCAACTGACAACTTCAGTGAGGCAAATGTGATTGGCAATGGAGGTTTTGGTGTGGTATATAAAGGAGTTCTTACAGACGGTACTGTGGCAGCAATTAAGAGGCTTCACAGAGATGGAAAGCAAGGGGAGCGTGCTTTCAGGATGGAGGTGAATGACTTCATTTATTAGCCAGCTCGTTCCCAACTTGTTTTCTCTCATCGATATTCATATCTTTCTTGGATTTTTATATCACAAACTTTTTTCAGCCTTGAATGGCTTATAGTTTTGTTTATTCTGGTTTTTAAAGTCAAATACATTTAATTGTTGAGTTAAATTACTGATAACAAACTATAAAGTCAACACTATTATATTGTCATCTTTCATTAATATACTCAAACTTATAAATTCTATTCAATCTTGGCACATGGGGTTGAACTATAGCATCGGATTTTATTCTGCAGGTGGATCTACTAAGCCGGTCGAACTCTCCTTACTTGGTGGAGCTACTAGGCTACTGTGCTGACCAAAATCATAGGCTTCTGATATTTGAATTCATGCCCAATGGCACTCTCCAACAGCATCTTCATGATCCTGGCAGTCAACATAGGCCGTTGGATTGGGGAACTCGGTTAAGGATAGCCCTTGATTCTGCCAGAGCCCTTGAGTTCCTTCATGAGCATGCTACCCCTACTGTTATTCACCGTGACTTTAAGTGCACCAATATATTACTAGATCAACACCTCCGGGCTAAGGTTTCTGATTTTGGATTGGCCAAAATGGGCTCAGACAAGATCAATGGTCAGATTTCAACACGCGTGTTGGGGACCACTGGATATCTAGCTCCAGAGTGAGTGCTCCATCTTGTGTCATGCTCATGCATCTCTATTTCATTATGAGATTATCACTTCCATACCGATGAATATGCAATATTAAGCACAAACTTGCACATGAGGCATCTTACCAAGGTCCTTAGTAGGTAGTTGTCGTTTCTTATTTAATAGAGATTGTTTAGGGAAGAGAAGAACCCATGCCCTTAGACCATTTGGATAGTGATTCTGCATTAAATGCCTGTTCAGGAAAAAAATTTTCAAAGTCTTACTAAACAACAAATTTAAGTCTAGTAAAAAATGAATAGCATTGGAAAGAATGAGGGTGCTGTTTTCTGAATTTTCTTTGTCCATGGATTTTGGCACTGCAGATATGCTTCAACAGGCAAACTTACCACAAAATCAGATGTCTACAGCTATGGTGTGGTGCTTTTACAGCTTTTAACAGGCCGTGTGCCAGTTGATATCAAGAGGCCTCCTGGAGAACATGTCCTTGTTTCATGGGTTAGTGGCCGGAAGCCATCATTCTCTTAGATGCCAATGATAAGCTATACATCAGTAATAAAGTTTTGATCTTATCAACATTTAAAGCTGCAATGTTTAAAGACAACTAGAGACACTACATAATCAATTTTATGATATTAATAAAGTCAATAAACTTGACTTGGCCCCTCTAATTTCAGTGTCATGAATAGCTCAAAGATTGTTAAGTAATGTTCCAATGTTTGATGATTTAACAGGCACTTCCAAGGCTAACCAACAGAGATAAAGTAGAGGACATGGTTGATCCAGCTATACAAGGACAGTATTCAAAGAAGGATCTGATTCAGGTGAAGTTTGCTTCTATATTATTAGTCTTGTCATATATCATCACATGAATGGTTTCACCCAGCTGGTGCTAAACTTATATTTATCTTCTCATATTTGCTCCACAGGTAGCTGCTATTGCTGCTATGTGTGTGCAACCAGAAGCCGATTATCGACCTTTAATGGTAGATGTTGCGCAGTCATTGATCCCTCTAGTTAAAAATTTCAAATCCATTAACCCTCCTGCTTCCTCTAGATTTCATCGTCAAACCTCTTCTGGTCCCAAGTATTAATAATACCTTTGAGAATTGCAGAACCCAATAATTATTTTCTCGCTCTTCACGTTGCATCAACAAGAAAAAATCTACACTGTCACAATGTACAAAACAGCCTTAGCAACTGTGGTTGCTTCCTTGAATAAGAAGTAGAGGTATTCAAGACAACAGCTGAAGCTTCAGCACTCAAATCAGAAGGAAGTGAAGAGCTTATATTTGGCATATAACTGTGGCTTTCCCATGAGCCATAGACAAGCTTCTTTACAATCATATTCTTGTATAAATTTGTTGTAAAAGGATTAATAAATTCAATATTAATTATTTTCTGTTTTCAGAAATCAGATGTTTGTCTAGGAAATTAGTAATGCTTTTCTTTTGTTATGGAAAACATTTGTCAATGTAACAGTATATAATTTCTTGAGAGTCAAGTAAATGTCAAGGGAGACTTTCTTGTATCCAAAGAGTATCAGCAATCTGCTTGAATATTATTATAAGTTAAATGGAATTAAAAGGAAAAAAAAATACAGCCTAGTACTCGGTTAATCAATGTCTTGTTGGCTCCACATAAAAGCCAGAATCTTCAACCAGTACAATGCCTGATGCAGTGTAAGTACTTAAATGTTTCTTTTTCAGGATATATAGGTCAGATCTCCTAGACATGTCCGATTAAAGGAATATGACAATGAATTCCATATTGATTTATGAAAGGAGAAATCCAAGGAAAAGAGAAAAGAAGGTTGACAGGAGCAGAACTTATCAGTTCTTTGAAATACAGTGAGAATGTTGAATATTGCTATAAGGTCTTTTATGTTTAACCAGCTGCAATGAAGCCGGTAGCGGAACCAGTAAACTGGGAATCTATATGCCCCGGAAGACTTATAGGGAAGAGACAAAATTATGGTTAGTGCAGCAATGCAGATTGCAGAAGATGGAGATCCGTTCTAGATGTTTGAATGTAGTGTTGGTCAATCAAGGCCGTCTGCTGTGGAAAATCACAAGACCTGATACAGCCAAAAGGGACTGTAACAAAAATATACAGAGTTTTGATGATGAGATAGTTTACAAGCTACAAAAATACAAGAAAGGGTCACAAATTAACAGCATGGCACATCGAAAACCAAAAGTTGGTGTACTCCCATTAAAATTAAGTTCACCATCCGTGAGGAAAATGACCGGCGGCTAAAGCAGTAGAATGAGTATGCAACTTCCAAGGTTTTAATGTTTTTGTTGCTCCATCATTTTCACTCTTATCTGTAATTAGGACATGGTACCAATAGGAAGCTTCATAAAAAAGGCAGTCCCGGAGTCTTACGTTGTATAGGTAGTTTGGTACTAAATTGAAAATCGACAAGATGTTTAACAGAGTAATTCACCTTTTTCAGGACTTTGAAATCTTGGGTTTTGTTTTTGGTTGTATCAATAATGGTAAATCTAGTACATGGTAAGAAAACCTTAATCCACTCTTCTGTACAAAAAGATCAGAGTGAACCAGTGAACCATGTCTGACCAAAAAAAAAAAAAATCAGTGAAACTTGGTTTGACAGCCACCAGCCAACACCAAGTTGTTGGGGAGTTGTTATCAGGAGATTTTTCTCTTTCTATATTTCCTTTTAAAGAAGGAAAACAGACCACCATCTTTAACATTTCATGCATCATGTTGGTTTCTCCAACATGTAGGATGAAACAGGTAGCTTAGGCTATCAACATTGATGTCTGAAAACAACAATGTGAAGAATCATAAAGAACAAAGGAAAAAGATATTGTCTAGCTTTCCCACTTCAAACCTAAAGCTGATTAACATTTAGGATAATGAACATTCGATGAGTGATTGTTAGGATGAAATTCATAGAATTCAGAAAATTTGTGAACAATTCTACTCAAAAGTTATTCGAAGCAACGGTTGATCTTTTTTACCCTTGAAAACTGTAATTCTCCTAAGACCAACGAGGAGACCATGGTTACAACCCATTTTCAGTTTGCCAGGCCTATGTTAAATCCAGTTCTTTGGGACTGGTCTTAAAAATAAATTAGACCATTACCAGGCCCAAGAATTAAGATCATCCACTCAAACCATATTAAGGGTATTAGGCCCAACTTTGATGTTTTTACATCACCAACCAGCAAACAATTAATTAATATATTAATGCATTGAATGTGGCCCACATGGAGTTGTTTCTGGCTTTTTCCTATCCGTCGGAACCCAACTCTTCGGTTCACAAATTCTAAGAACATATTGTATCAACAACGTTGAAAATCACCAAAATGAAGCCAAAGCTTTCATTGATACGGAAATCTCAAGCCTTTAATTGATTTATTAGTCATCTTTCAATTTTGAAAGCTCACTTGGCTTACCATGGAGTATGATTTCCCCATGGCCACATTCAAGAACTACAACTTAGCGATGGATCTTGTCAGAACTCAGAAGAAAAATATATCAAGAACCATTCTGTCTAGAGTCCTGGCATCTTGATTTTAGTTAAAGCATGGAGAAAATATCATTATTTTCTAGCTAGCTTCGAGTGCTATCAGTTTCCCTTAATCACAAACATTAAATTAAGTCTGCCAATTGCAAAATTGCAATGCCTCTGCCTTATCCTTTTGGTATAGATCATTTATTACATACAAACAAAACAAGTGATTAGTTAGAGAAAGGTTTACAGACCAAATGAAATCACCTTATGCCAAATTAATGTTAGGTCGTTTATTCCTAACTAGTTCCCATGTTTATGAAGAAATGAACTAGCTAGAATCTTAATTATTCTTTGATTATTAACAAATCTTTACAAAAATTCTGATCACTTTGTCATCACTTTCAATGATCTACATGACCAAAAAAGTTGGTTTAGTTGATAAAGAAATGTTTTTTTTTTCTTGGTAACTAACCTTTGTCTCAATGCAATAAATGGATGTGAGGTAATGCATCTTTAAAATTATTCGTGAAAAGAATTAAGCTTGAATAAAATCTAAAAGAGCCTCAAGCCGTATTAAAAATAAAAGTTATCCACATGAACCCTAATGATCAGCCTAGATGCTGAAGCATATGGACCATTACAAAAATGAAAAAATGTTCATTAGCCAATGACTCAACGGATGAGTGGGGATGGATTCATTCCCACCCCTATTAACAAGGCTTTTTTAAGAAGAATGAAAAGTCAGACTCATTGTGGTTTCTGAATTCTGGCAGATCCCCACAAACAGCATCACTAAGCTGGAAGCAGCAGCTCATGCAATTATTTGTTCAGTTACAATGGCAATGGCTGTTGTGTGATGAGGTAGCTTTTCTCATTTGGAAAATCATTGCAAGATCACAGTAAAGTCAAACGGATGTGCTGTAAGCCTGTAATGGAAATTGATCAAGCTGAAATGCTGGCCATGGAAACCCAAAAAGGCAAGCGAAAAAAAAAAGTGAACTGTCAAAGTTCACCAACTTGCAAGCTCTATTTCAGTCTGATATGAAATTTCTTTCCACGTTGTCAAAGCTGAAAATGACCTGCAAGTTTTGAATCAGATTCCATACACACTTGCAAGTTTTATTACAAAATTGTAAATTGATGGAATTTCAGGGAAAACCAATGTTCACCAACAATGAAGAGTTGAAAACAACCAGTCTTCTAGAACTCAAAAATTCAAAAATTGCCGGCAACAATTTTTCTTCACTATTTTTCATTTCTTCCACAGCTTTGTTAGGTCTTATCCAATCCTTGTCCCATCAAGTGCAGTTCCATTGGAATTTTTGCTAGAAGTCTATGTCAGAGTCTCCCTCAAATTCAAATTTGACTTTTGCTCGCTCACGATGCAGCTTCCAGGAAATCATGAAAGAAATTTCAAAACATACATTGTAGGTGGCAGTCAAAATCGGATGTACAAGATTCCTTTCCTTTGATCATTCAAACTCTACAACACCAAAGAAAAACCCATGCAGAAAATATTTAACTCAAAACACCTTGCTTTATTTTCTTTCCTTTCTAATTACAGTAAAATTTGCTAACTGACCTGTTCAAGACTTTGCTTAAATTAAAATACAAAATTATGAAAACTAATTAAATTTTGTCCACAAATATAATTAATTTCAATAATTAAAATTTAATATCGAACAATCTCTAATAAAAAAAATTTTCACCCTTATGTATACAACTCTGGAAAGATCAATTTCCAATCGACTTGGTCTAATATGATTGTGATCTTACACACATTGCTCTTGAAAATCAAATTGAAATCAATAAACCAAAAAATTTACTTAAAAGGACAAAAATGCATAGATAATGTACATATCTACACAAAGCTGTTGACTTTTAAGTCGAAATTTAATTTATGGTATTAATAAACTTTTAAAATTGTAGGAAGAAAAAATAAATGTAATTAAACAGGAGGACGGCTTGAGTCACCCGGTCCAATCGGCAAACTTGAGGTGCCTTCGCCATCATTGGCCGCCACCTTGGGTGACTTCATGGAGGATGCTCTACTAAAAAATGGTGGTGTTATACTAAACACCCACCGGTCCGACTTAACTCCCCGGTCCAACTTCTCGAGCCGCCAGAAAGACTTTCCTCTACTACTTCCACCGTCTTCTCCGGCTCGAAATCCTTGCCGCGAACTGCTTTCCCTAGGCAACACCAAACTTGTTGCCCGGTTCAACTTCCGGTTTATTAACTGCTTTCGAACATCAACTGGTAATCGCAAGGTGAACCGGTCTGTGTTCTCACCCGGCTGGACCAAAGAGTGTCCGGTCGAGTGAGACCGTGGAAAGAAGAGTTTACGTGCACGGCTTGATCTTGATCCACGTGTACGGTTCCTATTTAGAGTTTGGTTCACGTCAATTACTTCAACCTCTGGAGCAACTTGATCCTCCACGTCACAGCTGACGTTGTTAGTAGTTCTTCTCCTTTCTTGTTCCGTTTCCGAGTCACCGCCGTCGTTTTGAGCCTCGAGGTCTAACTCGGTGGCGGTGTCGTTCAACTCAGTGGGTTGACCCGCTGGAAGGTCACCTGGTTGAGGAGCGAGATTAGCTCTACAAACAGGGCAAGTAGTATGAGAAGCCAACCAAGCGTCGATACATTCAGGGTGAAAAACGTGGTCGCATTTGGGTATTAAACGCAGCGTTTCGTCGTCTTCGAATTCATTCAAACAAACCGCGCATTCCAAAACTCCTTTACCTATCTTGTGAACCTTAACTTCGGAGTAAACCATGGTGGGAAAAGTCTCGATCACCGACGCATCAAGTCCACGCATACCACGACGCGAACGACCGCCTGCACCGTTGACAGGGCGGATGCTTCTGTTGGCGTTGGCGTCAGAGCAGTTCCGGATGTAAATCGAGAAAAGACCCACAAAGAACAAAGCAGCAATTAAAACGACAACGATGACGGCCATGGAAGGGCTGAAACGCGCGTAAGGGTAACGCTCGTCGTTTTGGCTGGTGGTTTGAGCGGCTGAAGGAGGCGGTGCGAGGAGGAGGAAGAAAAGAAGGGAAATGATTCCATGCTTTGCGGTGTACGACATGGTAAAATGATGGGCATTTGAAGAATGGGAGAGTAAGGAAAGATGAGTAGGGGGGGTTTTAAATGAGAGATGAATGACAGAGGTGGGGTCCACTTTATTTAATATTTTAGAGTTGGGGGGTCAGACTTGGTGAGCCACGTAGGATTGGGAAGGTTCCAAGGAAAAACGGAACTTTGAAGAATTTTGGGATTGAAGAAGTGACAATTGCATAATTAATGCAAAACAAAGGAATTTAGGCTAAATTGTATATTTTATATTTAGTTTTTTATTGCTACATTATATGAATGTTTTATTCATAATTTAAAACTTTGATTTTTTTAATTTGTAATAGTTTGTTGTTTCAAATTTATCCATACACCAATAATTTATTTTTTGAATTTAAATAGAATGTCATTATTTTAATTAGATTTGATAATTTATGTTATGTTTTTATATTATGTAAAATATTAAAATTAGTATATTTATAATGTGTTTTATATAAAAATTATTTATCATAATTTATATTGATATAAAAATATAAAATATACTTTTTTATTAAATCTATATATAATTATTATTTAAATTTTAAATCATATCATTTTTATATTTTTTATTTATATTATATTTGAATTGTATTATTTTATCGTATTTTAAATTGTTAAATTTAATTTTAATGGACATATATGTAATAAATTTTATCTAAATTTTAACTATATTTTAATACACGGATGAATCAAAAGATTAAAAATAATAAAGAACAAAATTTTTAGGTCAATAAAAAAATACTTTGCCAAAAAATCACAGATCAATGGTGGAATTTAATTTAGTAAACTAGTAGTTATAAAAATCAATTACTAGACTATACTACCATACTTGTTTTAGGCTTTTAGGGCTCTATAAAATAAAATAATCATTATCCATAGCAATTAATTGCTCTACTAATGATAATTTAATAGTTATTATATCAAGTTAAACTAATTACGTGTCTTACGAGGTGGACTTGTTTCAAACAAAAAATTTCTTATATTTATACTTAAATGTCTAATTAAATTAATCTTATTTTTCTTTCAATGAACCCATGTTGATATATATATATATATATATGTAATACTGGACATGAAATACTTTAAGTCTTGATTAAGAAACTTCTTTTTTTTTTAATGAAAATTTACCTTCAATTTTTTATGACATGTTTTAATTAATTTCTAAAGTACAGGTTAATAATATTTTACCTTATAAATCGTTTTCACTAATAATTTTGATTTATATCCACTAAAAGCTAGTCAGTTATGACATAAAAAAATCAAAACATTTTTATTTTGTGAAAACCATCTAACATCAATTAGGTTGGTAGGTATAAAAATTAAAAAAGGCCAAATTTCATAAACGGTTGACCTAACATTTTAATTAGTGGCGGAAAATACGAGTACTTGATTTTTTAAAATTATTTTTAAAAGTGATAATGATTTAAATTGGATCAAATTTTAATTTTTTTAAAATATATAATATTATAAATTTTAAAAATTCAATCTGAATCTCATCTTTTTTTTAAAAAATTGATTTGATTCGAATTAAATTTTTACTTATTTGATTCAGTTTATTTGTTTTTAAATTTTAAATTTTTATATATTTTTTAATATATTTAAATAAATTTATACATAAAATAATTACTTTTATTCTATAAAAATTTAAAAAATATATAAAAAATAATAAAAATATATATTTTGATTTGATTTTTTTATATTTTGATTCAAAATACAATATGAATTTAATAAATATATTTAACATCAAACTTGATCCAAATTAAATAAAAAAAAATCCGCATTGAATCGAATATTATGATTTTAAATCGATTTTAATTTTTTTAATTTTTTCTTACTCCTAATTATCTCAATAATTTTAAAACATAAATTCAAAATATAATTCAATTAATTCATATAATTGTTTTTTAAAATTAAATTCAATAATTTTAAATTTTAAATTCGCAATCTATTTTTTTTTATTTTCAGATTAAGGTTTAAAAAAATAATTCTAAAACAAAAGTAAAAAATTTCAGCTTTACACTTTGATATAAAAACAGTAGAATCAAAGGGGCAGGACGGAAATTGATAAGATGAGGTGGCATAAGATTAGAAGTAGAGGATAATCGTGAGCTTCTAGAAGAATTGATTCCCTAGTTAATGGGGCGTCTAATTTAGTTGTAGGAATAATGATAATATTTCATGTTCAAAACAAGGAAGCGTTTTGCAGCCATGCAAGACCCATTGCAGGCTAGGTCCCACTTAAGAGGAAATGTAGTTAGATCCATTGAATTTTCTATACGTGAGAAAAAAACTTCCATCTTTTTTTCATTGCATTAATTATTACATAATAAGCAAGTGAATTTATTTTTTTAATATTTAAAGTGTCAAATTTTAAATTATAATTATTAAAATTAAAAAAATAATAATTTTAAATATAAAACTTTCGCATTAAAATTTTTTATTAAAAATGTGTAAATAAAAATTTAATAAAAAATTTAAATGAATATATAATTGATAAAATTTAATGCGAATAAATAATATGTAAAAAGATTATTTATAATTTAAAAAGCTAAAAATCACTTTTCCAATGGAAACTAAAAAGGTGATACTTTGGTATTAAATGAATGAGCGCTGTTCCTAGATTCATTTAAGATAAGTTTGGTATTAATGAAAACCCTAATTTTCAACGTGTCAAGTGTTTTAATCATGATTAGAAATGTGTTGATTGGGGCTTTAAAGCTAGCCACAAGATTGCTGCTTGAGCAGCCAATAATCTACTTTCTTCTATCACGAGTTTTGAATCTTGAACAAAGAATCTTTTGCTTTCTTCAATTAATTAGTCTTTTCCACTTGAATTTGGTTAAAAAGTTTGGTGGGATGCAAGGAAGCCTGAAAGAAATTGTTGAAGTTAGAATCCAAAGTTTGCAAGGAATTTGTCGTTCCTGGAAGCTAGCTTCTAGCAACAAGAACATGATCCAGGGGACCACAACTCTTTGCCAGGGACAGTTAACTTCTCTCTACAATTATTAAGGAAATTAAACAAAAGAAAAAAAAAAAAAGCAACAATCTCAAAATTAGAAGGTGAGGTTCAGTTTGCAAGATATATGATTTGAAGCCCGGCTAGCTAATGCAATAGTTAGATTATGCAGTGGGGGCAGATTCCTTTCATTTTTATTTCTTTTGGGTATTTAAAATTGTTAGGGATTAAATGCCGTTGAATAAAATTAAAAGTTAAGAATTCTATCAGATCACATGATACACTGCACAATTGTTGATAAAAAATTTCTTTAATTTTTCAATTCAGTAACGTTAAAAACGTCAATTTATCTATATTTAATGAAGAATTTGATTTTTTATCCAAAAAAAGATAAGAATGGTATTATATTATAGATATAAAAATTATGATGTGTATGATTTTAAATTTTTATTAAATATGAAAATGAGGATGAATAATATAATACTTGTCCTGTATTCATATTCATATTCGTATCTTATATTTATATTTATATATATTTAGTAAATAAAATTTTTATTAAATAATATATATTAATAATATTTTACAAAGTAAAAAAAACATAAAAAAAATTATTTTTTTTTAAAAAACTATGGGAATGGATAAGATGATGATAAATTAATTTAAATACTGATGGAGTATGAGTATGAAAACTCATATAATATAAAAGTTCAAAAATAATAATAGAGAATACTTTACCCATTGATATTCATAAATAACATGTCATCCTTGATCAAGACATGATCATTCCCATTATAATTTTACTTTCTCATTTTTTTTGCATTGATAAATTTTTTGGTTAATTATAAAGAGAAGCATTAGAGCCTGACAGCCATAGCACCCAAAAAAAAAAAAAGTGTCGGAGAGTGGAGGCTGGAAGCTGACGAAGCTCTCTTTTTAACATTCTCTTCACACATATCATGACTAGAAAGAGTAATGGGGTAATTTACAGAGCTTTTCAAGCAAGTGATCAGAAAACGCGTAATGAAAAAGCAGTAGGATTTAGTGACGATCTATTGACTAAGTCACCCTGCAATATAATATTGACTGAAACCAAACGGCCACAAATATGCTTGATAAGTTGTGTATTTGTGAAGCAAAACTGCAATTTCTTCTTTCTAGCATGTAACTCCATATATATATGAATGATACCATTTGAACGGCTTGAGACTCGTCAAATATTCTTTGCCTTTTTTTAAGTTTGTTTCAAGCACTTTTGCTTTGATGTACTCTTTTCTTTCTCTTGGATATGGCAGGAAAAGTTAGAAATTATGATTTTTTTTTTGTCCTCTAGGCTTGGATACGGCATGGTTACATATTCCATAGTATATATCTGAGTATTTAAATCTGTCGATAACTATTAGAACCCTTTATCTATAACTAGAAGTTGGGTCCGATGGTATGTTTCAATAGAGAAGATGGTAAGCTAGTAAGAGGTTTTAGAAAAATAAAAAATAAAAAATAAGTTGTAATTGAGAAGGAATTGGTTTAGTTGATAGTTTCTTCCATCTTCTTAGTGAAATGGGTTTGAATTTGTTGGTGTTTTTTTTTTTTTGTATAAAAATGATTGTAATTTAAAGATAAAATTTTTTTATAATTATTGAGATTTAAAATTTTAATTTATTAAGTGTTATTTTTTTAAAATATTGATTTTAGTTTACATTAATAATTTCAAATGGATGATTTTATAAAATGTGACACATTTTGTCCAAAAATTGAACAATTTATTTACTTTAATATTTTTATAATAAAAACAATTATAAAATGTGAAGTGTAGATTTAGCAAAAACAAGATGCTAAAGTTGTTTATTGTAGCCTAATGTAAACGGATCTTCAATTATATGGATGGTTTTCATTTCGGGTATGTGTGATTAAGTGAAGCTAATTGTATACGTTGAGATTTAAGAGCATACATTTTACAATTCTAACTTCAAAAATTAAAATGTTAAATTCAAACCTTGAATGTTCCATGGTAACCATTTTTTTTTAATGTTTAGTCAAATTGTCTTAAAGCTGACTTGTGTTATCAAATTAAAATTAAATTAATTGGTTTCTGATG